TAGATTACCCGCATCCTCCGCCTCTTAAATTAATCATATTCTTTTAGTAGATTTGCTTTTAAGAATTGTGACTATCGATATATGATACATGCTATAGAAAGTCGTATAAAGTTAAGAATAGTATGTCAATCATTTCTGTATGCTTTTATCTCATTTAAGTAACTATTAATTCATTCATCAAGGTGGCTAACATTTTAAATTTTATGAAAATAAAGAAAAAAATCTCAGTCACAAATAAAAAGATTTGTTTATTAAACTTAAATCATATTTTTCAGTTACTTTATGTATATTTAATTTAATCAAATATATAATAATAAATCAACAATAAATAACACACGCTTAATATATTTTATTAACAACATATATCTCATACTTTATTATTTAATCTCCCATAGTGAATAATCTGATTTTAGAAGAGCAATTAGACTGATTTAATTGAAAACATCAGCTTAATTTAGATTCTTATATTTATGTGTTTTAAGAATAGTTAAGAAATCATATAACTTACAAAAATTTATATCGTATTTCAATATTTACTCTTCAATATATTATTCTCTATGATTCTACAAGACTTAATACTATGTCAATTTAAAAATTAGACTAATAAGTTCTGAAATTTTTCTCAAAGAAAAATAGCCTCATTATGTAAAATAAGCATTTTAGAAGAACACTATTTAATATTTGATGATTGCCTGCTTATTAATCAATAAAATTACTCATAAGCACCCCTTAAATAAATATTGATTATTGGTTGTAAAAAATAAAATTACCAGAATCTTCATTTCAGAATATAAAAGTTGATATTCTCAAGCATATTCATTGAATAAATAAAACATATTTATCTCCTTATTTAAGAATAACATGATTTTTCATAGGGTATTCAATTTTTGAACATTAAATGGAATCACTAATGAAATACAATAACAATTCTTTTAATCATTTTTTATACATCTTTAACTAATATCTGTTGGTGTTATTCAACAATTATTAGTAAACTTTAGAAGATGCCATTATTCATCTTTTAAGATATTAAAATTAAATATATACCAAATATATATGTCTATTTGAATTTGTTTTTAATTATGAACCTTAAAGAATTATAGATCGAGATATCAAAAATTTCATCAAATAGTGCTTTATAGTGGAAAAGAAAAGTGTAATAAAGTTGATTCTAAGATAGCCAATCCAGAAAATCTGTCTGAATTGCAATTAAAATTTTGTAATTCATTATGAAAAGCATAAAACCAAATTTTATTTTGGAGGCATCATCATAAATAGACCTATCTCTAATTGATGATTGATTAAATTTAAATCAACTAAAATATCAAATTAAGCTAAATTCTGATTGCTTAACTTATATTTATATAATTCATTTTTTGATAGATTATCCATTCAAATAATAAATAATCTATCTATATACTTAAATTTATAGTAATGTTTTGAAAAATAAGAAAGTATTTTTTATTTTACCTCTTTGTTAGTAATGTCAATATAAGTAAAAATAGTAAATTTGTATATTATATATTTATTATGAAGATATTAATTATAATTTCACTTCTTCTTTTTCTTTTTGGGTCTTTGCATGACAACACTTTCTAAGGGAAGAGGCATTCTTAATCCATCATCTTTAGGATCTGTCATTTTATTTATAGTTCGAATAATGTTGACTTTGGGATACTCATTTCTTTTTTCTTACAAGAAGTTGTCCGATATTTCAGGAGTAAAATTAATTGAAATAACCTGTAGATTGGGTAATGCCTTGATAATTAATTAAATAAAATACTTTCAATATTCCTTCTAGTCCTTGTTCTCCCAATTTACTACAATTATTAAGCTCAAGCATTTCAAGTTTATTACATGATTAAGCAATATAAACTAATGTATTGTCAGCAAGATATTGAATTCCTCCTAATTTAAGTTATTTTAATTTATGTAAGGAACTCAATCTGCCTACTGAGGAATCACTAATATTGGTTGATCCAGAGAGTATGAGAGTATGAATGTTTGTACAAAGGGAAGTAGCAGAAATGACTGAATCACTAATGTCTTTTGTAGGGATGAAGGACAAGTCTAAAAGTTCCATATCTCCCTTCGAACGTGAAATTAGATCAGATAATAAATCTGCTTATAGATTTTCTACTGTTGCTATTTAAAGTTCTTATAATCTGCATCCACTTTAAAGTAGATATTTTGTAAAGTTGCTTGTTAGATTGTTACAAAATGAAATGTTAATTCTTTAGAGTAAATTAGCATTTTAAAGTGGTTCTAATGAGTAGTCAGTGATTGATTATAAATTGCTAGCACATTTGAAACCTTGCAAATATTTTGAAGTGAAATCCAAAAAGTTTCTGATTCCAATTTCAGTCAATTTTTGACATGATGACACATCAATGAATTTCAAATTTTTACATGATTTTGCTAATTCCATTAATATATCATCCTCTAAGTCTGTATTTGATAGGACTATCTCTTCAAGATTGATAGCAAAGTATCCAATTTTGCTTATTTGTTCCATTTTCAACCATGTATGATTATGCAAATTCAAGAATTTTAACTTAGGATTTAACACTTCTTATAGATTCTATTCAGAAAGTATTGAGTTTGGCAATTTCTATATTAAAATTAAAGTATAATACCTTTAAATGTCTAATGTCTTCATTTTCATAGGACTAATTGTATACAACATCCCCAACTTGACGAATGGTTCGAGTAAAGTTTTCATTCTATTCCTATTTGAATTGACTATTGATTGGTTTAATATTCAAATAAGGATCGTAGTCCTTATAGGTTTAATTATATATAAGAGCCTTGGATTCAGGTTTTGCAGTTGTTAACTATTTAAGAGTCTTCTTAAATCCTGGAGGTGGGACACCGATGTCTTCAGGAATTACAGCTTCCTTTGTTAGCTGATAATTTGTAAATGGCTTTATTAGTTGATTATTTTATTATTCCTAATTTTAGTAAGTGAGCAATACTTTTTTGCGTTTCTAATAGAGAAAATCAAGGTTGTCATCATATTCTTTTGGTTTAGGTTTAGGCATAAATTAAGGATTCTAGAGGACACGAGGGTAGTTCATGGAACACCAACCAAGTAGACTACTATGCTGATTGAAAGCAGGAAACTAAACACGCTCTATGTTCTTATTGACTGTTTCCTTTATAGAGAACTCTTTATCATTTTTCATTTAATAAAATAATCAGACTGTTATATTCTAAATTAAACTTGGGAAATCGTTGTAGTTTCTATTAAATACTTGGATCACTTCTGTTAAGATGTCACTTTATTAAGTTCTAGAGTTTAGAAAGTGCAACATACCTAATCTTAGTAGCCTCAACATATCCATTGTGATAATCAACACAGGTTCGTTCCCAATCATCCTTTTGTTTTCTCAGGAGAGTAGATTTCTATGCTTAATCTATTATATTACATCAGTATTGAATCTAATATCATTATTCAATTCAAGTATGGTTTGATTGATTATTAAGACCCGAGCTTTGAAAGTTGCAATAGTAGCTTATAATCTTCTATTTTAAATAACTATTCTTTCCTTTTGGTTTTAATAGTCTTGTTCTCTTGCATTATCTTCCAATAATTCTTTCTTCAAAAGATCGAATATGCTTTCAATCAACTCATCAATTATCTCTTATATCTTTGCTACTCCTTGTTAATTTGCCTGAATTCCAGGGTCTCTATTGTAGAATAACTAGAATTTTACTGTGAAGTCTCCAAAAGCAATTCATACAACAATCCTATTCCATTTGATTATTTTTTTAAAGACTTTTAATGTGCTTCCAATTCGTTGAACATAAATTATGAAAATTCAAGGAATGAGTATGTCCCAGCCAAAGGATCCCATTTCTTTGTACTTAATTTACTAATTATTCTTTTTCCTTCTTGCAATGCACCTATCATTGTAGTTAATTCATCTCTTCTTGCTTCGTATTATTACTATAATTATTTAAAATAATTATAATACTCTTGTCAAATCTCTTTACTCTGTTAACTCTGCAATACGCTAATTGTTTCTATCCTCGATTTCTTATTTATCCAATAATTATCTCTATTTATTTTTTTATTCTTAAATGAATAATGGCAATGTTTGTTAATCTTTTGCTAATTAATATTCGGATGAATCTATAACGAATAATATCTCATCGTATTTGTCATCACAGAATTGTGTGTGATCCCTAGACTTCTATCTCTCAACATCCTATTCTCCATTTATTCTCTCCTTCATTTAAGTGAGGAGATCAATTATTTTATCAACACTGCTGTTTCCTTCCAATTGAACTTATATTGTTTGAATTATAGTCTTTCCAAATTCACTGTTTTGTAGAGATTACAACAGTGTTTCACTCTCACTCAAACTACTTGCAAATATTACAAGAGAACATAATAATATAAGCTTATGCATTATTATTAATTATTAAAACGGATATGTAGTATAAATTGTATTTTTCATTTATAATTCATAATCAATCCCATCTGAAGATAAACACTAAACATTAAACCTTGACACTTACTATCCTTCAAATAATACTTTAAACTACTTTCATAAACTATATATTATATATTGTATTTTGTATGAAAAAATAAGAGTATTAAATAATTGGAAATGAAAGACTAATTCGTTTCTAAATGTTCACTGATCCTTAAACTTTATATTATTCTAAAAATGTTTGAGAATTCCTATGATATCTCAAAAAAAGTTCATCTCAAGTATTATCATTTCTTTGATTGAGTAAAGATTGCTAATAAAGGATTTGTTCTAATAGTTAATTAATATGAGAAAACTAGGATTTAATAAATAGACTAATTTTAATAGTATTTTGTATTATAATTATTGTCATAATTATGCATTAAAAAATAACTAAATAATCATAAAATGCTCTATATAAATTAGCAACCTGCTACTTTAGAGCAACAATAAGTAAATATAGCTATTTGTAAAGGTTTATAAAATAATATTGATGATAAATTAACTAATTGATATTTTAAACTTGGTAATCATTCTTATTTTACCTTCTTCTTCTTAGTTGAATTGTTCTTCTTGACAAATGCTCTTAAGACTCCAACCTTCTCATTTTTGTGTTCATTAAAATTAAAGCCGAATTTTCTTCCATATCGAATCTGCAGTAAATAATCATCTAAACTCTTTTTAGAGATATTAACTTTTTGAGCAGCTTCCTCAAGAGTAAATCTCCTACTCTCCCCATCTATTACAATGCCCTTAAACATAGTGACCAAAAATATTACATTATAATATTCCCTCCATTTTGCAACTTTATCAATGATGTATCCGATTCTCCTCTCCTTTGTTCTTCTACATTGTTTTTGATTCTCCTATCCTTAATTTTACTGTTGTTATTATTGATCATTCCCTTCCTACTCTTTCATTTTATTAACTTTTTCATTCATTTCCTCAGACATCACTAAGTGAATGAGTGAAATCCCAGTCTGAATGCACTTAATGTGCAATTGGTTGGTTGATTGAATTTCATTCAATGACATGACATAAGAATAATGCACAGGGTCCAATCCACAATTTATATACATTTCACAATCGAAACTATAATAGGAAATTGTGCGTCCCTCCAATTATATGCCTAACTCCTTAAGTTTGCTTGTCAATTTGGAGATATTGATTCCATTGGGCTACTAAATTTTACTCAGATCAAACTCTGGGAAGTACTCAATATAATTCAACATTGAATCCCTACCATCGATTAATTCAACATATAGTTTGACCTAAATAACAATAATTATTCCAAATTTTACTGTTATGGATTCCATATCCATTTCACGACTACTAGTTGAATTCTCTTCACTACCATTATCCGACATCCTTGAATATTTAAATTAATATATTTTATTATTAGAAATTAATGACTCTTTTCTTAATTTCATTATGCTTAAGATAGACTTTTATCAATATATTTGAAATCTCAGAAGTTGTGTCGATTCGACTTTTGAGAAAGAATGCAACATCTTAACTTATAAGTGCTTAATAATAATAGATTGATAGATATAAATGAATAATAAATGCAATCTATTTTTTCACCTTTAGCTATTGAATGTAATCGTTATGTTTCCTTATAAAAAAAAGTTAATTAAAGTTAGGGATCAAAATTTGTTATTTATATATTTTATATTATAATAGTATTAATAATATAAATTACAATAGTAATGAAATTTGTAATTAGAACAAATAATTAGTTTGAAAGTCATTCAATAGATGGAATTCAGGTAAGAACACCAAAAAACGTTATGGTATCTGGAGAATTTATGGAAAAGGTGATTGAGTCTTTGAAAAAATAGCAAAATGCAATGTACATTATTTAAGTTACTTTTAGGTTGGAACATGTTAAAGGAAAGGGAAGGCTATTTTCATTATTATGTCCAGCCCTTGGATGGTTAAAACATAGAGAAGAAAATTCAACAAAATAAGAAAAATTAGAAAAAATTAGAATTGTTTATGCTTATTATTCCAAATTCGATCAGCAATATTTAGAAGAGTAATTAAGAAAAATTGATTATCAACCTAAGATTTCTTAGATTAATCAATAGGATAACATCTAAATTAACGATGAGGATGACCTAATTCTTATAGATTAATAAAGTTTGTTAAATTCTGATTTAACTGCTTTTCAAAATTCAATACTCATTATTGATGATGCTCATTAGCCGCAGGATAATAATAAACTTCTTGGTTAGATCGAAAAGAGTACTATTTAAAAGGCAATTAATGAATTGGTAGAATTATTCAATGATTTACAAAAGATGAATAATCAGGATTAAAAATAATTTTTGTAAGAATATGAGTTTGAAACCATAAAAATATTTCAACAGAGACTGTTAGTCTTAAACAAAAAATTTGATAATTGTGAGAATATCAGGTTTTCTGACCATCCAATTTTTTAATTTATTTAAGACTTTATAAGCATATATGATAAGAACATGATGTATAGCCAAATTTAAGTTTAGAAAAATTATTTAATTTGTTCTAAACTTGCAAAATTATCACAATTAAAAGCATTTGCTGATTTTTTCAAATTCTTATAAGTAGCTGTGATATGTTACTAAGAGAAAAAATATAAATATCCTAATTACGAATTTAAAGTAGTTGTCGATTAAATTAATAAGCAAGATAAAATTGAAATTAATGTGAAATATTATTTAACCCATCTTCAGAGCCGACTTGAAAAATTATAATTTTAATCTGTTATACTATCATCTGATTTTATTTAACCGAAATATTTACCAAATTTTCACATCTATCATACATTTGACAAAAGAGAATATTTTTAAACAGTTTTATTGTAAATAAAATGGGCAAGTAATCTATATGATAATCTGCTTATGAATCTTGAGAGATTTGTAAAAAGTATACCAAATGGAATTTTGGTTATTTTTTCTAGTTTTACTTCAGTTTAGCAGTTTAGACAACATTGTTTAGAATAATAACCGAATTTTTTTGGGGTTATTGAAAAATATAAAAAGTTGTTTTGGGGACTTGATTAAAAAAAAAATGAAATAGTAGATTATATTAAATGTTCAGAGAAAGGAGCCATTTTATTTGAATCTTATGAAAAAATCTTTAATAAAAATTATCATTTTCCAGGTCACCTTTGTAAAGGTTTAATCATTGCTTAATTGAGAGCTCTCAGTCAGAATTGTCCTGATTACTCATTGCATTGCGAAGATGATATAACCTATAAACACTGGAACTTTGATAAAATATTAGAAAGAACTTTACTTTATGAAAATGACAAAGGGTATTATTTGTATTTATTATAGAGTTTTAATAATATTCAGTTTATAAAAACAAATTGAATTTTGGTATTCATGTTTGAAAAATTAATTCAGATTCGAATATGACGAAAATTAAATCACTGAGTGGTTTAAGAATGATTAGAATTCTTAAAATGATGATATGTTAATAGAATGGTATTATCCTTAAAGGGAATAAACTAAAACTAAAATATAAAAATAATAAAAAAAGAGAACAAATTAGCAAGATTAGGAATAGGATGAAATTGTACAGATGTCAGAACATTCATAAAAAATCAAAAAGGTAACCAAAAAATAAAATTAAAGATAATCGTAAGGATACTCCAAAAATAAAAAAAGTAAAAGATAAATCAAATCTAATGAGCAATAAGAATAATAAGAAATAGAAGAGGAAGAGTAGGAAAATTTTATATAATAGAAGAAAGAAGAAACAGAAAAGAAATAGAAAAATAAAAATCCAAAGAAGAATAAAGAAGAATAATCAAAAGTTAAAAAATAGTCAACTTTGGAGAAATTTATAAATAAAGTTCAGAGTGCTAAAAAAAATACTGACAAAGATGATTAAGATAGTAATAAATCTAGTTGATTGGAATATATAAATAATTTTTTATTTAGTTATGTAGTATTCTAAAATGAATTGGTTTATATAAATAAAAATAAAATGTCGGTGAACTAAATAATTGAATAGGTGCTTCAAAACATGATCGACATAGATAACCCAGATTTTAGACTGTCTAAGCAGTAGAATATTTTGGAACTGATAGAAAGAGATGAATTATTGGTGATGGAACGGTTGTGGCCTTAGAGAAGGGTGAATATGGTTGAGTTTATAAAGATAATGATATCAGTGGTGCATCATAAATAGTGTGAGTTATTGTATTTAGTGATGGGTTTGATTGAGTTGTTTAAGGACATAGTGGCAACTTGTCAATAGAATGAATTGTCATTATCGGATGTAACAAGTTATGTATGTTAAGTGGAACCAATAACTAACAACATAGTGCCTTAAATGTTGATACCTGAACCAAAGAAGTTTGAATTGAACAAGACGAGGATTAGAGATATAGACGTGGTATATATAGAGTTTTAGTTAGAATGCTCCTCGGATCATAGGATAGGCAGATGGTGAGATATGTCACATTGTGAATGGTTCGTTGATAAATGATGCAATCAGACATCATAACAACAATGTACATACAGGACAGGTGTGTATGAAATAGATTGTGACACTGGACAGTTTAGATTCCAAACTAAACATCTATAATTTAGATGGCACTCTGAAGAATTAAGTGAAAATAAATTAGAGTGAAGACAAGGAAATAATAATCCTTAGTTTTGCTTGGTCTGATAGATAATAGAGAGTATTGACTAGATGATATATTATTATAGATTGGATTAACATTGAAGTCTCACTCTTTATGCATGTACGAGAGTGACTTTAAGACATACAGAATATTTCCAACTGTGTATGCTTCATAAGATTATCAAACCAACATTTGGTATCTTGAGAATCAGAATAAATGGATAACGACAGATGCAACATTTAAATTATACGAGTGGGATTTGCAGACAGAAAATGTGGCTAACATTTACTCAACAAATAAGATCACAGGGTGTATCATCGATTGTGTTGAGGTAGTTCACATGAAGATGATTGCCACTGCTTCCTTAGATAAACAAGTGGTTGTCTGGGATCTAAATACCAAGGACATCAAGATAGTTGTTTCTTTGAAAGAACATGGAGGAATCCACAGTCTAGTCTATTCTTATTACTATCAAATATTTGTGACTTGTGGGTACTCTACTTATATAAATGTTTATGAAATCAATCCCAAATTTCATGATGTAACAATGATTGGCAAATTGAGTGGTCATACATCTATGTTGACTTCCATTCAAATGATTGGTAAAAGTCCTGTCTTAATTTCTGGTGATGATGGAGGTACTTTGAGATTATGGGACATTAGAACCTTCTCTTGTCTGCAGTCACTCAATTTTGGTAGAAAAACCTAGATCACCAAAATCTTAGATCTCTCTGATCAATCAATGATCTGTTTCTTGGGGTCTAGAGTCAATTTACTTAAATTGGACATTCGAAAGAAGGATCAATCGGATAATTATGTTATCAAAATTGATTTTGATCCCTAGAGAGATGAGTTGATTGTTGCCTCTAAAAAGAATATTATTTTTATGGATATTTATACTGGAAGAATGAAAAGAATTCTCAATGGCCTGTTGAATGAGTTGGAAGATGAAATTACCCAATTTAGACCTCTTAATTATTATAATAAATTCATCCTATCAGATTCCAAAGGGAATCTCAAAATCTATTATCATACTGGAGAATACTTTGCTCAACTCAAAGGACACTCAGATGTGATACAATTGAAATTAGACATTCTCAACAAACTTATTATTACATCTGGACATGACAGTGTTCAAATTCAAAAAATGAATGCTGAAGTTTTAAGAGAAATCACTCCCTTTAAATCATAGTAAATAGAGATCTCTGTTCATCATTCTCTACTACTGGCATCCTACATGAACCATCTCTACATTTTTGACTATGAATTCATCAAATGTCTAAGTTTTCTCGAATTCGACGGAGATATCACATCCATCATCTTCATTGCTAATTATCCTCTCTTTGGAGTTTCAACTATAACTGGCAAACTTTACCTTATGAAATTTGTTGTGAAAGATCACATCGAAGTCAAAACCACCATTTATCAAATCTACGAAGTGGCCAATTGCTCAAATTATGTTACCGAGGAGGGAGAACAAGAATTTGTTACCAAAATTGTCTTAAGCGTAAAAGAATTAGAATTAGCTATGGCAACAAGTGAAAACAACATCATCAGATTGCAACTGAATATACAACTAGAACCAACTGAACCTGTCCATGAGCGGATAAATTACAATCCTCTTAGAAAAGCCAAAGAGCAGGTCCTAATCAACGATCCTATTCACATCTAATCCACCGAAGGCGTCTAAAAACTGAAACACATTATCACTTTTAATGCTTCTAAGAAATAAATTACCAGCTTGTCCTATCTACAATTAGATGAGAGATTTCTGCTGATCACATCAATCGATGGAATTATTAAGATATTTGATCTTAATGGAGAGTTGATGGCAGCATACAATATCAACCACCCATTGCCAATTAAGTGGGAAGTTAAATATACTAAGCAGTCAGAACTGAAAAAAAGAATCATCTATGGGTTCAAAGTTATTGATATTCTTAGAAAGTAATCCAAAACAGAAAAAGAAGCTGAAATATATAGTCTAACAGATTCCTTGTAAGTTAAGAGGTAGAACTCATTTTCTTTATAGAATTTAAACAAAAAACCATTAATCATGAAGGATGAATTCAGTCCAAGGGATTTGAAATTTGAAAAGATTAGACACTTGTATCAGAATGAAGTTCAAGGACCAACACTTAAATAAATGGAAGCCCAAAGAAGATTGCAAGAAGTCTAAAATATGTTTAAAAATGATGTCAGAGATCCTAAGTTAGATGAAGTGTTGAAGCTAAGGGAAAAAGAAAGATAAAAGAATTTAGATAGAGCTGCCAATCTTAATTTCTTGGATCCTGAATTCAGAGACAAAAGCATCTTGAATCAAAAATTGTTAAGCAAAAATGACTATCTAAAAGAATTTAACACCAAACTCGAAAATAATGATTAATCCTCAATTCTACAAAGATAATATCAATCCAATCAGAATCAACAATCCCAAGTTAATATTCAAATTCAAACCAAAAAGAAGCAGAACTCATCTTCAGATTTTTATAAATATGCAGCCTAGAGACATTTGTTAAATGAGGCAAGTATCTTGGAATCATTCACTTCATAAAATACTCAATTAAAACCAATCAACAAATAATTGATTAACATCTAATCTACTTAGATATCATAACTAAAATCCTTTGGATCTCAGGATTTGACTTGGCATGGATAACATAGGAAATAACAAAAGGATTTATCATAGGTCTTAACAAGTCTTAATATCAAATTGAGATAAAGCAAGAATTCCCTCGGAGGAGAGACTATCTTGAGAGACATTACAAAGTCAGACATCACATTTGAAGATTAATTAGATGAATTCACTAAGAAACACAAACTAAAATGATTGTAAAGTGATAACAATTAGTCTTTTTATTAATATATAAAATATATCAGTTATAGTTATAGTGTAGGCTTGAATGTTTTTTGATAATTGACTTAACCTTAGTATCGATAGGGTTTTTTTTATTATTACTTTAACTATTCTATGTATTAACATTTTATTGTGGTTTGAGCACTGAAATCTTATTTATAGAATGAATTGATGATGTCTTTGTTTTCATAACAGACTGCCTGTTGTTATTATATTAAGAATAATTAATGTTTTTATTCACGTTATTACTTTGTTATTAATCTTATTGTTATGATTATTAATTCTTCAACAGAATTTTTTCACGATGAGTGTCTTCATCATCCCAATCGTAGATGTATTCAATTCTTAGTTCATTTTCTTTCATTATTGTCAGAAATAGATTTTTAAGATAGTGGTAATCTGGCTTTTCATCAAATTTGAGGTTCTTAGTATATTCAATATAATGCAATAATTATTTGGGATGATTTTTGCATAAAGTTTCACTTGATGTGGCTAATTTCTTCTCCATAATCCTATCATATTTGTCTTATTAAGTATTCGCTCTTAAATTTTACCATGGTAATGTACCTCTTAAGAAGTACATTATTACATATCCAAGAGATTCTAGATCGTCTCTCCTGGATTGTTCAATGCCTAAATGAGTATTTATTGATGCATATCTGGCAGTTCCAGTCAAAGCCTTGTTATCTTTATATGGAATATGCGCGTCTTTGTTGATGTACTTTTTAGCCAATCCGTAGTCGACCATGTAGACTCTGTCCTTGTGTGTTTTGCCCAATAAGAAATTGTCTGGTTTGATGTCTCTGTGTAAGAATTATTTGCTATGCAGGAACTCAATGCATTCTAACATTTAGAGTGCTAGTACAGTGACTGATTGCAATGAGAAGATGCGATTATTGTCTGTGAAGATGTCTTCAAGGCTTTTGCCTAACTGTTCCATGACCAAGAAGTTGTAGGCGTCTTGTTAGTAGTAGCCATAATATTTGGGTATGCCAATTATAGGGGAGTTGTTGAGATATTGATAGAGCTTGGATTCGAAGAGTAATTGGGGATGTTTAGTGTCGGATCGCTCAATTTTGATTGCATAATCTTATCCATTGGCTGTGGCTGAATAGATTTCACCGAATGCTCCTGCTCCTAGTTTTTTGAGAAGCTTATATTATCTAGGGGATAGGAGTAGGCTTACTTATTTAAGAGGAATTCACTCATATCCTTAATAGTATATTCCATCAGTTAATTAATTATTAAATCATGGCTGAATTTTCGATTGATAAAGTGTGTCAAGCAATCCAAGTTTTCAATTAAGGGCAAGTTGAATAGGCTGATAGTTTTCTGAGAAGCTTCTCATAATCAAATGAGGCTTGGGGAATTTGCATTCAAATATTGTAATCGAATCCAGATCCATCATTGGTGTTTCAATTATTGCGTATTTTGCAATCCAAAATTCTTTATGACTTCAGTACTTCTAATCTAATCATTCATTAGTTTCACTTACTCCCTCAGAAGTGCAGCAGATATATTAGAATTGCATCCAAATCATACTTCACTACAGCGTATAAAATTAAAAATCAACTAGAATATAATGTGTACTTATGTTCATCTATTTATACTTGTACACGTACTCACAGCAAACCAAATCGATACTAGAGTAATCCTATTATTAATCATTTAGAGTCATAGCCCAAATCCTTGATTACTCTCAAAACAACAGTCCTCACCAGAAGTTTCTATTTGATGTTTTGGAGACACTCCCAGAAGAATTGACGGAAAATAAAAAGATCATTATAGACGATGAGAAGAGGAAGTTGATTGCTCAAGACATCAAAAACAAGCAAATGCTCGATATCCTAACCTACCTCCAAACTCAATGGAATACAGTCCCAGAAGATTCGATTAAGTATCACATTCTGAGATCATATAAAAAGTGGTTGGAATTCATGAAATCTAGCATAACAGAAGAAGAAGTAATTAAAAACCTTAAATTAGGCTATTCAATTTATGTAATTGAGCAGCCAAACTACCCTATTCAAAGGTACATTGGAATCCATAAGTAACGAGGAATTGTAGAGCAAAGCAGTCGAAGCAATATGCACATTTGTTGGTATTATCCCAAAAACAATATGCGAATAACCTCAAATAGAACCTTAGGTTTTGCAAATATTATTCGATGAGATGTATAAGACATTTCCTTCATGCAAGAAGGCATTGGATGAAGAAGCAGGTGAAGAGATTCATAACCTCGTTAAATTATATTCTAAGGCAGGTAAGAAATTTATTCACAAAATTCTACTCAACACATAATTGGAACCATTTATACAGACACTGCTATGGGTGTTTTGCCATGAAAATTCTTTTACTGAGAGTGACATCTTGACTGATTTTTGGATTAAAATGATCAAGACTATTAGGATTATGAATGATTTGTAATTGTAGAACAAGTTCTCGTTAACCTTTGAATAACTTATCAACGGGTGTGTTTAAAAGAGTAAAGTGAATAAAATACTTTTGGCTGAGTATGGCATTTCACCTTAGATTAAGGATGAATTTGAGTAGTAATTGGATACCAGATCACAAATGAAAGAAATCATGGAAGAATTAGTGACAATCATACAACCAAATCTAATTATTCAACATTTGGGAGGCATATTAAAGAAGGAAAACTTTCCATAAATGAGTGAGAATGGTTGGATTACATTCGAAGCCTGTATGAATTTAATAAGTGGAATTATTAAATAAATTATACTGAAAAATGATTAGGTTGGAGTTTAATATTTAATGGAAATTATCAAGTTATATTTAGATGTGTATTAGTAATAGCCATTAGCCAGCAACAATTTCATAATGAAATCAGGTATGAATAAATTCTAAATTAGTTTTCAAAACTATATCCCAAGGTTGTGCTTAATTGATTTCCTCCACTGAACTGTTGCCCTCTCTATTTAATTTCATAACAATAGGAATTCATCATTAAGTATCATCTGTTTAAAAGAAAGCCACTAAAGCATTCTAATTGATTTGCTAATAAAATCAAAATTTTGTGTTGCTTCATTTGAATCAATTTTTAGATCTCATCTTTAAATTGCAATAAGTGTAATCTATCTTCTCTATCATTTAGGTCTAATTATGACAATTTAATTAAAGGAGTAGCAAATGCAATATGTTCAAGTTAAGAGACCATGTAAAATTATTATTTAAAGTTGTGTTCAATCTTTGCTTAAAATTTAGTTCAATTGTAATAGTAAATCGAAGAATTGCTGGTGAAATCTATGGGATCAGATATGTTGGAGGAGAAGATTAAACAATTCAGCAAAAACATCTCCAGTTTAGCTTATGTGAATAGCTAGATTCCTGCAAATGAATCGGATGAGTATTTAGCAGTTAGAGTTTTAATTGTTAATGTCTATTAATAACTTTGGCCAATGTTAAAATTTGGCATGGAGAGAATAGCCATCTTTGAGCATGGAGTAGCAGAGAAAATAGTGAGATACACAAAACACACTTTTAGAAAAACCTTTAATTAATTTTCAGTTGAGTTACTCACCTAAGTCTTTTAGAGTTTCTTGAGTGTCTATAGATAAGTTCCAATAACAGCTTGTATCTACGTAGCAGAGGTATCAGCAACTGTATTTTATAAATACCCTGAATATCGTAATCTGTTGTCAGAGGCCTTTGAGAATCTATGCAACATTACATTCCAACATTTACCTCAATTGTCAAGTTTCGAAGAGAACCCTGACTTGACAGAAGATTTATTTGGAATGCTTGTAAGATATGGTAGATACACACCAGTTTTATTGTTGCAAAGTTCAGCATTATAAACAATTTTGTAATTGACTCTGATGGCCATTGGATTGGAACATGTAGGTGCTGCAAAAGTATTTTACTCCTGGTTAGAAGTGACTTTCTTAATGTTGAAACCATAAGATGAAGCATTCAAAGTTCAAATCCCATAGGAATATAAAGACAGTATCAATTAATATAAATTATTAGAATTCCAATAGATCATCACTCCATTTATTCCTCAATACACGTCAAAGTTATTTGAAGCACTAAGAAAGGGACCAACTGATGAAGAAGTAGAAGATTACATCGAGGATTGCATCATAGCTTTATCTAAACTCTCGTTCATAGAATATCACAAATTGTTGAGTTAGGTCTTGGAGGAGGGACCGTAAAACATCTTGACTCAATCGGAGAAAAAAACATGGATAGAAAATAACTAGGATGTTGAAAAGTAATAGCAATATTTAAGGCTCTACACAAGGAGATGTATTTAGAATGCTTTAAGAGGGTGATAAAAATGTAAAATGTAAAATTAATTATATATATATATATTTTATGGTAAGTATTTCTAATGAACATATTATTCAATAATATTTCTATTAATATTCATAATTCCCAATTGTGGGATGAAACTTTCCAATTCCAACTTGCTTAAGTTTCTCAACTTCTTCCACTGTAGTTGGGATCCTGAATTTTAATATGAAATCATGGAAATTATAGGCAGTGCTTTTAGGATCATCTTCCTAAATGCTATGACCAGTATTCTACAACACAATCAATCTAAACTTTCCTTGCATCTGAGCCACTGTAAGATCCTTGTCCAATCTCTCTTTCTCAGCCAACATTAAAATCTTCGGTATTCTAATTTGCAAGAACTGATTAGTTAATCCTTCAAACCAGCCCATCCAATAAGGTGCTGTCTTCAAAAGATCAACCTTCCAATCCAAACTTATCACATTCCCATTCTGGTCTTTGACTTCTTTCAATTAGGCTGGTATTGATACTCTGGCTGATGACAAAGTCATTAAAGTTGAAGTATTCAAACTCCATTGGATAGCTTGTTCATAAGATTTAAAATGTTTGGGTCTGTTATTTACAATCTGTTCCATAAATGGTAATGCTTCAATGGCACTGCCTTCTACTACATCGATCACTATCAAGCCTATTGGATGAATATTGATCTATGATACCCTAAACCTTGTCTGCTTTCTATGAAGTTATCAATAAATTTGCAGATTTAGCTGCAATAGCTCCTCCCATGGAATGACCTACTATTATCACAGTCTATTTTGGCCATTATGTAGTCACATAATCGAATATTTCAACAACGTCATCCAATAACTACTAAACACTTAGGTTTGGATTCTCCAATTCAATTTTTGATTGGCCATCTATTATTTTAGTTAGATTTTTTTACGTCCTCTAAAATCAAACGAAATCAAGGTTGCATATTGCTTGACTTCGTTTGCCAAATTCGCGAAGGACATTGCAGAATGTCCAGCTCCATGTAAACACAAGTATATAGGGGCTTTATTTTTTCCAGCAATGTATATGGGTGTTCCCTATTTTATTGTAACTGCCTTACATTTGGATGGAATATCATCTCATCATAAAAGTCATTCCACTGCTAAGGAGAATAATCATGAATCTTCTTTGTTACTTTTGCCTATTAAGGATTTTAATGATGGGCTTATTATATTTATAATCATACAATGAGTAATATTATGATCTGCTTTTATTGGTTATGGTTTAGATCCTTGTAACTTAACAGGAATCGTATTCTTGCTATGAATTATTTGATCATTCACTTTACTTAAAATCCACATCAAATTAATCTTATTCCTCTTCCTTCTCATCAGCTTCATCTTCGTCTTCGTCTTCCAATATTAATATAAATTACTCTGCATCTATTTCTTTGGGAAAGGTGGTTTATTCTATTGCTGCCCTTTGAGAGTTTTTTTAAGTAAATCGCTCATTTTAAATTTTATTTTTATTAATATAAACTAACAATATTAATAAGCAACTACATATAATTGTTTATTTTTAGAAATAAAATGAGAATCAATTATCACTTCATAGTTTTTATTCTTGAATATAATATTGCTTTTTAATTGATATTCAAAATGGCCTGTATCCTTGGAGTTCCGGTTTCTAATTATTGATTAACATCGTATTGATAACAATATTAGATTTCAAACAAGATTGCAAGAATAGAGCATAAGTTCAACATAATTATATAAAATTGTAATTTAAATACTGATTATGATTAATTTGAACAAGAGTTTTAATAATAATGAAATTGTTATTAATAATTTAGAGATGAATAAATATAATTACTAATACAGGTGGAATTTGTTGACGTATTGCATCTGGATTCCTATGGGGAATTATTACAATTATGATATTCCAACATCGTTATACAATTCTTTTAAGAGTTATTTGACTCCAATACTCTCGGATAATCAATTTGAATTTTATTATGGATTGCTGTTTAGCATTACCTCCTTTGTTAACATATTCACTCCTTTCATTAGCGGAAGTACTATTTCATCAAATTAGTTAAGAATTAAGAGATTAATATGGAAATAGAATTGCCTTATTCGTTTTGCTATTTCTTGTCTCTCTAGGATAATTCATCTTCATACAAGGCTTCATTCACTATAACCTATACTATATCATTATTGGTCGAATCCTCATCAGCATAGGAATTGAACCATGTGGAGCCATCCAAACTAGTCTGCTTTCTTCATACTTCAAATTCGATCATATCGTATAATCAAATCTCTTATTAGGCCTTAGTTGTTGGCTTGTGTGAACTATTTGCCTCATTTGGAACCATCTCGGTGATGTATTTCGCACCCAAACTAGCTGCTCAATATAATCTGATATTTGCAATATAGAGTGGTAGCTTTGCAATTGCAATGAGTGTAGTATGCTGCATCATCACTATCGTCTACGATCTGAATGCAGAGTTTGTGGAATAGGAGAATTAAATTTAAAATGTTGAAGTAAATAAGCAAATGAAAACTTAAGACAACTTCCCATTTATATATTGGATGATCATCCTCTACAACATGTTGCTCTTTGGATCTTTACTCACTTTTAGCAATTTTTCTGTCGGGATATTGACTGAACGATGGTATGCAGATGATGAATCCGCAGAAGAAATGGCAGGTAAACTAATGGCCATTATGTGGGCGATATCTTCTTTTCTCACTCCCGTGTTTGGTTACTTAATTGACAAATATAAGAATAGAGCCATATTTGTAATCCTATTGAATATCATAGAATATTTGTGCGTCCTGTCTAGGTTGTATGGGCTTGGTGTAGCTTTGGTATTATGCACCTTTTTTAGCAATTAATTTATTGGGAATTTCATATGCAATTATGTGTGCCAGTGTTTGGTCAAGCATTGTATACATCATTGACGAAGCGAGTCTGGGTACAGGTTATGCCTATCTATTATCTTCATGCAATTTCTTATTGTCCATTTTGCCTCTTACTATTAGCTTGATTAAAATAAGAACGGCAAGCTTTTTCATTTCAGTGATGATGTTGGCTGTCTTAATTTTTATTACGATCTTACTTGGAATTTACATTTATATCCTAGATAACTAAGAAAACAACAGTCTGGATGGTATAGTAAAACACACAAATAAATCATATGATCAATTAGAACAAGATGAAATTTGAAATCTAAGATATTAATCAATTAATTATAATAAAAAAAGTGATGTTAGAATTATTCTTTTAAGCTTTTCTTGTTTTTTACAAATATTATTTTTTGTTTATTTAAAGAAATCTATTTTCAAACTGAATTCTCATTAACTTTTTATGAGTGCTAGTCAAAATTAAAAATTGCTAATTTCTCTTTAGGTTTAATCAACTAATTTGAGTCAATTAATGTCAATATCGAAAATAGCGTAACCTAAAGAGCAAGAATTCTGACTTGTTCAACTCATCTTTATAGAATTTAATACATAAATTAATATGAAAAAAACTTTGATTATATTATTGTTAGCCTCAATTTATTGTTTTTGGTAAACATTAAATATATTTTTTAATACGCTTTAGGGAATTCAATATAAAAAAATACAGTTATACTTAAAGGTTGATTATAAGAGTAGATTATTTATTAAAGTTATTCTCAATTTTTATAATGTGTGTATATATTCTTATATCGATTTATGAGGACGACCAAAATATATTAAAATATTGAATTTAATAATTTACATTCATGAATCAGACTCCTTCAACAATTGATATTTCTGAAATACTCTAAGATGAAGAACAACAATACCAATCCTATATAAGACAGGAAAGCACCATGGAAAAGAAACTGTAGTACTCAATTTCAGCTAATAATCAAATAAAGGGGAATCATTAATAGGATATATATAACAAAGAAGGCTGGCTGATGAAAAAGAGTCCCAAGTTACTTGTAGGCTGGCAAGTAAGATTTGAATTTTATGATTAAATCTTTAGAAACGATACGTGAAGATTCAGGATGGAAAAATGTAATATTATAAGGGCTTAGACAAATTCAAGGGATGCGTTGACTTTCATTTGATTTCAGTTACAATAACTCCCATCGTGAAGAACAACGAAATCCATGAAATACGGTAATGGCATACATTCTATAAGTGAAACAGACTGGAACTGAAAGGAATTAAAAAGATATTTTAATTTAAGAGTCCGGAACGCAACGACTTAGAGGATTGGTATCGTTGTATTTAGTAACACATTCTAATGACTTAATTCTATCCTAAAATTACGCCTTTGAATCACGAATCCATGTGGAGATTCGAGAGAATATCTGAAACATATTTCAGGAAGAAGGCTGACACTGGTGACATTCTATTGTTTAGGTAAGCATTCGAGCTAAACCAATTTAGAGGTCAGTCTCCATTAAGCAAAATCCAAAGAGCATTCACTGGGGACAATTTCGATCACGTAGCCTTATTACTCCGATACAACAATGGAGAATTGTTTTTATTTGAATCCATGGGATAAACAGTAACAATCAATTTAGAAGATCTAGGGTGTTAATCTGTTGAGTTGGGATACATTTATGAGGAACAATTGGCACACCTTGTATTAACAAATGGTATATAGATAATTAGAAGTAAATAGATCAAATGAATTTCTTGAAAAACTAGAATAATTTGTTAAGGTTTGCCATTTATTTATAATAAATAGGGATCAATCGGCAAAAGATATCAAATGTCTCCCAGTAAATTGATTAAACGATTTACAAAATCAAATGAATCTATCGATGACCTGGAAAAGGAAGATAAGACCTTCTTTTGTTCTGAACTTATAGCAGCAGCGTAATATCTTGTGTGAATTTAGTTATAAGAAGATGGGGATGATTGATGCAAACAGATGCGCTGCGTCTTATTGGCCAGGTATTTTTGCATAAAATTCTAAACTCCAATTAACAAAGGGATATCTAAAGCAAGAACTACTCATAGATTTTTCTTTAGTTTGAAATAATTGTGATAGATTATTTAATAATTAACAAACTTTTTTTTATAAGTTAAATCAATATAAACATTCCAATTAATGTCTCATTTCTTCTTATATTAAATTTATTTCCCTCTACTAAAAGTAATTCCAAGTTCTCAATGAATATGGTCCAATTCCATATAGACTCTGATTTAATTGATCCAGCACTATCTTTTACATATTAAAATTAGGCGCATATAATTCATCGCTATATTTCATTTTGGATTATGAATTATTATAAATTTTAACCAAAGAATCATTCTTATCCTAATGTAGGAACAGGATTTCCTTAGTTTCCTTAGAAATTATCATATCCAGAGGGTTACTTTGCAATTTCTTATGAAATAGCACCTCATTTCTTTACAAATTCCATAACAAGCATTCATCAGAACTTGAACTTGAGTATACAATGTTATTAGTATTACTGGGAGTGAATAAAGCTTTTAATGAACTATGATTTATTTATTCGTAGCTGAATTGTTCGATCTTCGGGTTTCTAATATCCAAATGAATAAAACCATTAGTCATAGTAACTAAAACATTATAGTCATTCACATCAATATATTTGATCATTTAAATGTCTTCCAAACATAAATCATCCAATTGCTTAAAAGTGGGGAATTCTTCTTCCATATCCCCTTTTATTTCATCAAATTCTTCATCTAATTAAAAGTTAGTTTCATTGAACAGGTTTGGATCCAATGGCTTTGTCAATGGACTTTCTATTATTGATGTTCCAAATCTAGGTAACATTGGAGATTAAATTGAGTTGGCCCTAAGATATTACTTGTTTTTATTTTTTTATAAAGTAAGTGATAAGCATCTAGTTTCATTCATTCTTTCATCTAGAATTAATAATTCCTAAATTAATAACAATATTTTACATTGTTTTTAGTACCAACAAAGATATTTTGCTTAGATTGAGTGATGAATATTGGTTGGGAATGCTATTATAAATTACAATTGTATTGATTATTCAACCCATAATAATGATAGACTTGATTCTTGAAATAGTTCCACCCCATCACATTTCCCTTGTCTGTACCTGTGATAATCATTTCATCTGAAAACTCCTTATCACAAATACACATTGATAGAAACTTCGAGTCATGTTCAGGCAAATCGCAAATCCTCTCAGTTCTAAATGTGTCGTTTATCAGTTCTATTCTTGAAAGGTGATTCCCATTATTGATCAAAATACCATTTTATTATTTCAAGGCCACAAAGTTATTGAGATCCTGTCTACATTGGGAATATGAACCATCAAAAGCAGAAAAATATTAAATATTCTATTAGATAAATTAAATTATTACTTTTCTAATAATCCTTAATTCATCCATCAATTGATGAAATTTTTTATTTACTTTTGGATCCAAATTCTTTTATTAAGGTTAATTCTCACTTCTTAAGACCAGACCCTCAATATGATTATGATTTTATAATTTTTTTGGAGTCTCCTCACTAGATAATATGTGCAAAGGCTTTTGATGACTTTTTTTCTACTTCTCCAAAAATTTCTCAAGCTTAGATATTTTCCTCAAACTCTCCTCTGTGTACTTAGATTATTTGATGAGAGCATCAGAAAATGTTGCAGGCTCCTGATTGGCTGTTCCAATCCTATTACTAGCCTAATATCCTTTATTCATGGGAGTTTTCGAAAGAACCTCGTCTCTTTCCTAAAAATATGAATAAAAGATGGATACAATTTCTTTGAATGGAACTGCAAGACATCTGGGAGTGTTAAAGATTATATTCTACTAATTGTAAATAGATGTTTTGTTTAGTTTTGCTGAGATTGTTTAGGCATGAGTAAAGCTTTAATATTAAAATGCATTAGGCATAGGTGATTCTTCACATGAAAATTCAGATATCACAGATGTAGTAGATGATTTTGGCACATTATGCTTAAATTTCACAGAATTATTCTTCATTTTTATTATTCTTTATCAAAGTCCAAAATTCAGCAAAGAGAAATCTTGAGAGTGAAAATTAGCATTTTTCACTAAAAAATGTAAATATAAACTATTATATTTTGATAATTTAAATTTCTTAATTTATGCAAAAAATATTATTATCAACATTTATATTATTATTTGATTGCCATTTAGCCATAATCTTATAAATATTATAATAATTAGAAACTACTTCTTTTTATTTCTTGATTAATTAAAATCATGATTAAGAGCTGAATTGAGTGAGAATCTTATACATAATTCTTTATCAACTACAAAGATTATAATGAAAGTATTATCAATCTTGAGATGATAGTTTTAATGTAATTTATAGATAAAGTGATATCAAATATCACTTTATCTAAGTTGGAGAATTCTATTTAGCCAATTCCAATACAAAAAAATATAAAAGATTATAAGGTTTGATATTCATATTAAATTTCATTCTAACTCATCACATTTATCTTTGATAGCTAATAAAGCTTTATCTCTCCCTTCTTTTCCTTTTTACGACTTTTCAACCAAATTTTAATCAATATATTCCTTTTGTGTCATTTATTATGGAATATACCCTAGAGATTTAGACTATTTTATGAGCTCATCAATTAATTATTTGCAATTTAGTTGACAATGTCTCTCATTTTCTTCCAATGTCTTCATTTCTTCTTCCTTGGTATCCTTATTATATTAAACTTTCTTCATTAATTATATTTCCTCATAACGATATCTGTCACTTTTATGCTCTTCCCAACGATATTTATCTGGGCAAACAACCCAAACACCATTCACCATTGCAGAACAACCACTTTTTTAATCTGATTCAGCAGTTGTGCATGGATAATGGCAAGTAAAATAGCATTTACACAATTCGAAACATACTCCCCTGGGTTTATGTTAATCTTCACTATTTCTGTTGAAGGAATCATCTTATTCTTAATTTCATCTTATGCCTAACTTTCTTATATAAATTCTTTTGTTTATTAAATTACATCAATTTCAACTAACAGTTAATCTATTTATATTCTTAAATCAAAAATTGCATTCTTTATTGATTTTTATATATATAACTTGGGTTAAAGCTATTTGTTACTAGAATTTTTTCTTCAAAAAACCTCTTAAAAGAAGAATAAGCCTTATTCCATAACTGTTTAAGGGATATTTATTTTTTGAAGCTTTGAAAGGCGGAATATTAAATTTTTGAACCAAAATGGTTACTTTGCTTGGTTTATAAGATCAGCTATAGGGCTTTTTAAGTGGTTTGAATCTCCATTAAATTTTAGTGCTTAAAGCGCTAAAGGGACTTCAAAATCTGCAAAAGTAAATAGAAACATGAACTACTCTACAATATTATTTCCAAATTTTTTCAATAAATGATTCATTACATTCATTTGGGACATCGATAATCTAACTAGACTTGATTTAATTACAAAGCAAATTAAAGTAATTTAATCTAAATCCTTTAATTTATCTATAATTAATTTCGATATTTCATCATGCTAGTAATCCTCTTCAGTTTCATCAAAACTAGGAGTGTCTATTATTCTTAGAGCTGGTCTTCAATTAGTTCCTTCCAAATAAATATTCCTTAATATTGGAGATGTAAACTTTCTGTTACTATTGATAGAAATCCTTTCCGATTCTATCTTTAATTATAACTCTGAATGGATCTTCAAATTAAACCCCTATCTAGTAATTGCAAAAGAAGTTAATCATTGTTGATTTGCCTGCTCCTGTATCTCCTATTAAAACTAAAGTTTTCAAATCATTGATATCATCTAGTTGCAAGGGTTATTCAGTAGGTAACTAATAAAATTTAAATGAATTAGCATTTTATAGATTCTACTTTATGAGATTACATTCTTTAGAAGTTCCTCGACTTGATCTCTATCGAATGAATCATTAAAATTTATATCTAAATCTAAATCATTATAGGAATTTCATTCAGGTTTTGTGCTGTTTTGGCAGAATGGACTCACTGGAAAATTTGGCTGATGGTATTAGGGGATAAATGTGAATGATTTCAAATTATCTGGGCTATAAGTTTATTTTAAAATCCAAAATAATTATTGTTGTTACGCTATTTTTTTGAGCTATTATTTTAAATGCAAGTTGTTTAAAATTTTCTAAAGTTTTTTAAAAATAAACTGGTGGTGCTGTTGAATTTGGTGGCTTTTAGACTAAGGATGCTCCATTAAATTCTAGATGCCAACTATTAGATAGAAATCTATAAATATCTTAAAATGGACTACCCTATTTAGCTAAAAAAGAAAAATCAACTTGTCCTCCTGAATAAAATGTACGAGCGATTAGTAATTTATTTGAATCTTATATGTCTAGAATGTTAGCAATTGTAGATAAAATTTATTTTGCTTCTTCAGTTAATCGCGAGTGAGTTGCTTTCAAACATATTACAATTAAATCAATAGACTATTTAAATTCCTCAATCAAATTGAATATCTTATCAATAACATCTTAATCATCCCATCCAGAAATTGATGGTGTATCCATCAAGTGTATTCCATATGATCGATAATTGTAAGGTTCAAGATAGTAACTTGATATTTCAGTGATTGGTTCGTCATTTGCAATAACTAATTTAGATTTTTGATACCATGAAGTTTCAAAATAATAATTAATGAATGCATTCAAACAATGTTGTTTTTCCTTCATCTTGTTCTCCAATAAAAATAATATTTTATTAGTCTATAGAATTATCTCTTACGTTTACGTAATGATACATAAAATTTTAAATCTTAATCAACCTTCAAATTTTTATTTATTAAACTTAACCCTTAGTATTTCCTAAAATCCAACAATAATTTATATTTTTAATCCATCTTAACAGCTCTTCAATTGATTTACATTAATTTTCTACTAAATTTTAGACTATCTCAATTGCTTGAAAATCATCATTATACAGTATCCTAATAAAATAATATAAATTTTTCAAATATTCAATCCCGAATATTGTATCCATCAATTTTTTGACTCCATGCAATTTAAGCTCTCCACCTTATTAGCGATTGATTTTGTACATTAAATAAACTTTTATCCTTCTTCTGAATGTATTTCATCTATATAGTAAAATTGGTATAATTATAATTCTACTAAAATTCTAAGATTAAACTATAAAATTTTAGTAGAATATCAAATTCAATATTTATATTATTAATCAACAACCCTTAAGTTGAAGAACTAATCAATTTGTAAATATTTAAATTTAAAGTATGTTATAACATTCAATCAATATTTTCATTTTTATTTAATAAACTGCGCTTAAAATACATAACTTATTCTTAAATGTAATCAACTTTCTTCTAATCAAGATTTGGATGTTATTCAAAATTAAAGTGTCAATCTTTAAACTTTAACGCAACTTATAAATATTATAAATTAAAATGTTATTTTTTTAGATATTTAAAAAACTAATTAAATTGATTCACTTTTTTTATTTTATTTTAATAATTCCTTTTCGTTGTGATTCTGATTATTACTAAGGTTGCTTAATCGATGAGAAAAAGTCTTTTTAAGAAGTAAAATAATTAAATTAATCAGTATTATTGTCATTATTTAAAATTTAGTTTAATTTTTGTTGATTTAATGCAGAATTTACAATTTGATCATCAACTTATGCTTTATTACTTTGAATTTAAATTTTGATTTTGTTTTTTCCTTGAGACGGAGTAAAATTGATTTCTGATTATTCAAATTGCTGTTTTTCCTCAGTCTCACATACCTATTTAGATTCTATCTATAAATATTAAGGCTTTTCTTATTCTTCAATGTCATATTAGGAATCAGACTTAAGTTTCTCTAATTACTTTTAGCATTTCAGACCAAATAGTTTAAGATTTCTCTTCTTAACCTCTGACTATTGACTACTTTTTTCTTCAGTCATAATCTTTTAACTTGGAGTTTGAAAATTATTATCAGTTCTATTGTAAAATGCTTTGGTTTATTTAAGAACTTCATCATCATTCACCCAAGGTTTGAGTGCTGTTTTCACCCATTCAGAGAATCCTTTTTTAATATCTGTATACTCAAATCGCTTGTCACACAAAAACACGATTCTTATTAATAATATTGTAATACCCATAATCATTTACATGTCTAATGACTCTGCCTAAGGCTTAATTGGTAGCTCTGATTGCTTATTAGCAATACCATTCCTAACTCCTTAGCCTATCTTAATCATTAAATTCAGGATCGTTGTATATTTTTTCTAAATATTCCATCTTCTACGAGACTTTATGATCCTGTTTTGGAGGATAAGGAACTCCAACTAGAAATACAGCTCTGCATAGTTCATCCGAGAAATCAATTCCTTCAGCTACTTTTCCTCTTTGAACTGCAAACATGATGGCACCTTTTTTGGAATGTTACTTATACAACTCAAACACATTTTGCATTTCACCTGTCTATTAGGGTTCCCATAAGCAATGTTTGATTTCGTTTAATCTAAACAATAATTTACTGGATGTCAATTTGCTTCTGAATTTAAACATAAGACTGTATGATGAAAAGATAACTAAAATTCCATTTGGAATAACATACGAGAAATTTAATAGATTCTACCCAAGCCTATTAAATTACTCGTCGTTGTTCCTTTATTAATAGGAGAAATCAAACTATTTATGTTAAAATACAATAAGACTTTATTAAATGTTGATAATGTGTGGACTTTAAAATTATGTTTAGAAGTTCATTCTTAATTCGCATGTCCATGATTACATGGGGGATAGTGTGCCTGAAGTCAAAAGCACGGAATGAATGTTCTTTGAGAGTATTCTTTAAAATGCTAATGAGGGTTCTAAACACCACATGTAAATAGTAATTTAATTGGCTACGTCGATCATGAAGGATAATTTGTATTGATTGAATTAATTTTGCAAAGAGGATAGAGATTGCTTCTACTTTTCTCTTTCATCTTCAACTCTAATCAAATCATAGACATTCATAATGAATTTGGTCCATGACTCAAAGTGATTAGCTGGAAATTGTGATAACTCACTCATAACATCTATTAAGATCATACAATGTGATAGGTATCTGGCGATATTATTTCTAGTGATTCCTTTTGCATAATTGGTCAACACTGAATCATTCCATAATCTGAATGTATTATCTTCATCTGAGGTGTATTGGAAGATCAGACTTTGAATTTAGCGAGCATCTAGGATTTGATATTTTTCATTCGTATCCTATAATGTGAAGATTGGCTATTATTTTAGTTATTCTAAATATTATGAAAAGGTTCTGATTGTGATCACAATGGATCGATATTCTTTCAATTCATTATAGAGTTTTGCCTGATTGAGTTTGACTTTTAATTACTCATAGAATATGGGGACAGTCTCTAACTCATCGATCCACTTTTCCAAGTCCTTCTCAGCCTCAATAATGATGTTTTGCGTGATAAAAAAGGATGATCCCTCTTCAGCTGTTGATTGTACATTATGTGCTTCATCAAAAATCAGGATTGAATTGTCAATGTTGACGTAATCTTAGAAATCTTTTTCCAAGAGGTAATTGTACGGGAGGAGTATGATGTCGGCCTCATCCAATCTCTATCTCTCGAAGTAATAGGGACAGATTTTGTTTTTATATCCGAATTATTTTGCCTCTTCTAAACTATTTATGAGGGTCTTGTATTGTAATGCCATGAACATTACAACATCCTTTTTAAAGTATTAGCATTGATTGGCCTTTACTACTTTTCGACAATTCTAATTCAAGAGATTCCCTTTGATATTGTAGAAATCGCCTCTTAAACAGTATTGATCCCTTGAACCCAAAACTGATACGTTGGGTTTGTAAACTGTCTTCTTTAATTCTTGGGCCACTTACTTTAATTGTGCATGAGTTCTTGAAGCGTAAATAATTCTTAATTTGGTTGGGTTGTTGGTTTTCTATTGTTCCTTTCTGTGTTTGGTCAGCCAACCTAGAGATGCACATAATAAGGATAGAGTCTTTCCTGTTCCGGTGGGTGATTCCAATCTAGGGTTAATATTCAAGAATGTAATTATACAATGCATTATGTTTCCTATCCAAAGTTTGTACAACACTCTCCATATACTTCAATTAGACGTCATAAGGTTTGTGTGGGAAGTAGATTTCAGTATAGGCTAGAGACAATGCTTATTGCTTTTTGCATAATTCATTATCGAGTTCTATTTCGGATATTCTGCCTTTTGCCGTGAGATCAGACTCATCATCAATCAATTAGTGGTGTGACTTACTTTTAATATTCTATGACATCGAAATTGGAGGATTCATAATTAAAATAATTCATTTATTTTTTTGGTTCAAACTAACAATATATATTTAACAATTACAAATTTAAATTATGAATTAAACTACTCCTAAATCCATAGGAATCAATTATGCAAGTAAGTAATTGATATTGAAGACTAGAATTGAGAAAACAAAAGGGCAAGGAAGAAACTCTACCAAAATCAATGAGCACTAATCTAAAATTCGACATTAATCAGAATCATTAACATGGCATACTGAAACACAGAAGCACTTCGCAACATAACATTAATGAATACGTGCAATAACAACAATAGATGCAATTATTTGAACAATATTTCAACCATTCCAAAATCTCATTATCTTTTATCGAATTTGTAACCAAATAAATACAGTATCATAACTAACCAATCTAAGTATAGTATCGTATTAATTGAGAAATTGATCAACCCAAACATTTTCAAGAATAGCCAAAGAAGGTGGGAAGAGGACCGAAGAAAGATTCTCTACGAATTAAATTAATAAAAGGAAGACAATTGCATTTTGCAAACAGAATTGCATGATCTAAAAAGACAAAAAAATGCACTCTCAAAATAATGTGATAATTTGTAGGTTATTATTGTGCAAGAGAGACTGGGAAGACAACAAAGACACCAGCAGTTTTATCAGCACAAATTTCAAGAACTTACTAAAAATTTTCACATTCCCACCCAAGAAACCATATCCTCATTAACTGATGAAAGAGTAATCTCTATAACAATCATAGTTCGAAAGCAATGAAACTTCTCTTGATTCCTCCTTGTCCAACGAAGACCACGACCCTCCAATCTACTCCAACCAACTGTTCGAAATGCTCAAGACTGGTAAACACAGATATCAATTTTCCAAAAAACTCAATTGATATTAATTTAATTAAATATATATATATATACATTAATATATACATGACTAATTTGAAATTATTCTACCTTACTGCATATCAAAATGTCATTATTGTATGTGTATTCTTACTCCTATTAGATTAAAACAGAATTGCCCCAAATTACAACTTAATTGAAGATTCATCGCAATTCTTAGATAATTGAAGAGTGCCCCAAAAATCAGAATGTCAACGAGAAACTCAAGGGCGACAAAAGGGTCTCCTACATTTTAGGGATATTCAAAACGTTTAATAAGTCATTTCTAGTATTGGTTGAAGAATGCACTAAAGCTGCAACAATTAAGGAATAAATCATTTATCACATAGATTAAGTCTCGTATTACGCGATTGAAGTATTATTATTATTGATTCCAGGAACAAAACACTCAGAACAAAGATATCTTGGAGAGTCTCGGAAATTAGAAGAAATTGTTATAATAAGGATTCTATTTTTCTATCAATGGCGACATCACCCTTGCTAGACATTTTAACAAATTTGAAAATAGTTTTGTCTGGAATCAGAAATTGTTAAGTGGGTTTAGAGAAAATAAGATCTCCTCTCATTGGTAATTCCCTATGATTTAAGGGTATGTAGAATAAATAGAATCATATATAGACAAATAATTAGTGACGGTGGTTTTGATTTCTAGAAGAAGCAGATTTATGGGTGGCACACGATACTACTCAAGAGGAATCAATGATGATGGACATGTGGCTAATTTCATTGAAACTGAACAGATTCTCATTAAAGGAGACACTATAATTAGCTTTGTTGCTATTCGAGGTTCAGTGCCCATCTTCTGGAATCAAGATGGAGTCTCAAGTATCAAATTGACCAGATCAAAAGAACTCACATCCGCTGCTTTTGTCAAACACTTTAACTTACTCAGAAGATATGGTAAAATATTTTGTGTTAACCTAATGCAAAATAACAGATCAATCGAATAATTGTTAACTGAGAACTTCTACTATTAGTTTTAGCAAACTTAATTAGATCATGTTAAATACTAGTAGATTGATTTTCATGCTCATGTTAAGAATGGCAAATCTACAGGACTTAATCTATATATTTAATAGTTTGAAAAAACACTTGAATTATTTTCATACTATCACGAAAAGGACAACCAAATCTAATCAGCATAATAGGGTGTATTCAGAATCAATTGTCTCGATTGTTTGGATAGGACTAATTTGTTTATGAGCAAACTGTTTTTGTTTAGTTTGAATTAGACTTTGAAAAATCTCAATTTATAATTGAACAATATTGATAATAGTGGTATTTTAAATTAATTTGATGAATCAAACAAAAAGCTATTGCATGATCTCATTATCAAATATAAGAACATGTGGGCTAACAATGGCGATCAATTGAGTTTCTTATATTCCGGATCAGGAAGTACCATATCAGAAATGGCAAGAGAAGGCAAAAGGGGATTTATGGGCATGCTTAAAGATGGATACAATAATATAGAAAGGTTTTATAATCGCCAATTCGAAGATGACACCAAATAAAACACAATCAATCAATTGCTAATAGGATCAGATGCCAATACACATTTTGATAATTGGATCATTGAATAGGAAAAATAGTACTGTGTAAATCACTAGATTTCTGTGCTTTTAGTAACTTGGAATGTTGGAGGAAATCACCCTACAACAACTGACTTTTCAAATAATATCCTAAGTTTCCAAGATAATCAATTATCCAATCCAGATATCATAGTTTTTGGACTCTAAGAAATTGTCGATTTAAATCCACAAAATATTGTTATAATGAGTAACGAAAAAACTATTTAATTGTGGAATAACTTATTTCAACAAAATCTAGAAAAATTAGAGTCTTATGCTAAAATTGCCGAATCTGATTTGGTAGGTCTATATACTTCTATCTTTGTTAAAACATCTCAAATTTCAAGAGTAACCAAAATTGAAACTGATGTAGTCAAAACTGGATTAAGAGGAACTCTGGGGAACAAAGGAAGTGTACTTGTTAAATTCAAGTTTGATGATTCATTAGTATAATTATTGTTCATATTGTTTAGATTGGATTCAATTGCTGTCATCTGACTTCTGGCAATAAAAAGAATCAGTATAGATTATCAGACATAGAAGAAATTCACTCTAAAGCATTTCAAAATTCTAAATATAAAACCAATTTGAATAATTTAGATTATTCATTCTTTTTTGGAGATATGAATTTCAGAATTGACCTGCCATATCAGGACACTGTTGATAAAATTAAATCATATTAATCCTACATTTCAAAAGATAAAAATCATATTTAAGCTAAACAAATTTTAAGTTATTTGATTAACTAAGATCAATTAATTAAATGCAAAGCATAAAATCAATATCTGCAATAATATTAAGAAGGTCTGATAGACTTTTTGCCATCCTATAAATATGATAAAAATAGTTAGACTTATGATACTTCCAAAAAGTAAAGGACACCCTCTTGGTGTGATAGAATTTTGGCCAAACATAAAGAAGAAACTAAACTTGAATAAAAATTCTACAGAAGAAACGAATGTTTAGACAGCGATCATCGACCTGTGTCAAGTTATTATGTGATCGATGTTAAGAAAATTGATAAAGATAAATTAAATTAAGTGAAAGCATAATATTGTCTCTCATTAATGTAGAACTCAAAATCAAATTCATAAATTTCTAAAGAAACACCAAAACCACAATAATAACAACAACAACAATAATACAATTATTAAGACTAATAGGAGGAAATTGAAAACATTAATTTCTAACAGTAATCTGAAAATTAACAAATTGGTATTTAATAATAATAAATACAACAACAACAAGCTTAGTAATAATAATTGGAGAATACTTAAGTTTAATAGAACTAGGATCAGACAATTTAGAATGAATTAGAATAAATTACAAAAGAGTAACAACTATGATTTTGAAACATCATAATTTATTTATTTTACCCATCAATTTTATATTCTTCAATTAAAGTTTGTTTAATTTTCCTTTCAAACAAGTCAGGGTTATTTGATATTCAATCTAATACATTTATATAATTGGCATAATTCAAAAATAAAATTGTTTATTTGCTTATTCCTTAATCACTTAAACAACAATATAAGAAGATTCTGTAGTAATTACTCCTCAAGACTTCAGGTTCATTTGAAATTTTGATTGATGTTTATATAATAAATTAAGTAATAATTTATTATTAAAACTACGTATGACTTAGGTCTCTCAAGAATATAATTTAGAATATTTGGGTAGGTAAATGATTCATTAACTTAAGACAAGGCTTCAGACATTACCAAAGTGTAAATTTAGTAATAAAGACAATTAATTACAATCATAAGTGTCAATGATAAGGATGCAAGGGACATAATATATTATCTTTAAGATAGACAAACCATTGATTTATCATAAATATCCCTTAAGAAAAGAATTAAAGAATTGATATTGAGTATACCAAAAGTTTCCAATCCAAATTCAACATTTAGACTTATTTGGGAATTAATAAGCATGATTTTCATTTTTGTCCAAATGATTTAAATTCCATTAGTTTTAACATATTCAGTAGAGTTAAGCTACGGGTTCTAGATATTTAATTAATTAATGGATGTATTTTTTTATATAGATATGACTTTGAATTTTAAATTTGCTTATTATTATAGGTACTCCTATTTGCATATGTTAGAGGTGAAATTATTTATGATAGAAAGAAAATTGCGATTAATTATTTAAAGTTATGGTTTTGGTTAGATTTTTTAGCAGTTTTGCCTTACGATCAAATGTTCAACGCTGAAGATTCTCAAGCATAATTAATCAAAATAGTGAGACTGTTTAAGTTTATAAAAATTGTGAGATTATTAAGAGTACTTAAGATCAGTAAAATACTTTAAAAATTAGAAGGTAAATCCATTTATTAAATATTGATAGAATCTGTAACATTGGCCTAGTCATTTTAAGAAGTGATATAGTTTTTAAAGATAGCATGCTTAATTTTAAGTATTGCTCATTGGATTGCTTGTATTTGGAATATCATTGAATACACTGATGAATAAGTTAATTTAACATGGATGCACAAATACGGCATAGACAATGCAGATTGGGAAATCAAATACATTTCTGCCTTTTATTTTAGTGTAACTACGATGATAACAGTTGGTTATGGAGATATCAATGCCAATACACAAATCGAAATGATATTTGCTATATTTGCTATGGTTTTGGCATCAGCAATATTTGGTTATAGCATGTCAAGTTTTATGCTCATAATAGAGGGGGAAGATGAAAAAATCTAAGAGTAGAGGATTCAGAACTCTAAAATCATTAGGTATATAACTAATAATAAACTAATAGATACATCAAATAGAAAAGTATACCAAAGGAATTGTAAAGCAGAGTTAAAAATTATCTAGAGTGGTTGGCAGGATCCGCTCAAATTGCTAGAAATTATGAGTAATATGTTTTAAGAAGTCTATCTGCCAATCTGAAAACAGAAATCATTTGTCTAATGAATGGAAGAATTCTGCATAAAGTTTAACTCTTTAGTAAAGAATTCTCACCTTAATTAATTAACAAACTTGTTTATGTTTTAAATGAATAGATTTTAGGACCTGAAGAATATATATTTAAGGAAAATTCATTTGATAATGATAAGATATTTTTTATCTAAAATGGTTAAATTAATATCTGTATCACTTAAAAGGAAACACTATTAAAGACGTTGTAAAAAGGAGACTACTTTGGTGAAATAGGTTTCTTTGGGAGAAAACCAAGAAGTGCTTCTGCAAAATCAATTGATTTTGTTAATGTTATGAGTTTAAATAGGATTGATTTATGGGAGGCAGCAAAACCTCTTGAGAGCGATTTATTGAAGCTTTATTTTATGAAAGATTGTCTTGAGGTTGAAAATAATCTCAAACCATTAAAATTAAGGTGTTACATTTGCGATAGACCTCATCATATAGCCAAAAATTGCACTGTCTTTCATTACAGAGTAAGCAGAAAAAATATCATCCTAGAGTATTTTAATCATGAAAATACGAGATTAAGTTAAGATAGAAAAATTAATAAAAAAGTTAAAGTGAATATACGCAAAATATAAGAATCTGCTCTTAAATATTAAAATAGTTAAAATAGATGTGAAAAGCAAATTAAAATTATATAGAATGATTATATTATTTAAGATGTAAAAATCGCCTTCGATATTGATAAACAAAAAGAATACTCAGATTTCTTTAATGAATTTAATATTACTAATGTTGCAAAAAATATTAATTTCTTTGCTGAAATTATCCTAGCTGAAATTGAAGAAAAGAAAAAATTGAAATCTCAATCTAGACAAACTCAAAAACGACTCAAAAATTAAACTATTGCCCCTAGATAATCAAAAGCTACTATTGGAAATATGGAAAATATACTAAATAACAAATCATTAGAGAACTCATCCTGTTTGTCTTCCGAAAATTCAATACGGTGTGTTGATAGACTCAAAAGTAAATCCAAAAGACTACTTGATCTGTAATCTTAATATCAGTATGTAAAGATTATGTATTCTAAAATAGTTTTGCAAGAAGATCTTTAACAAATACTACTCCGAAATTATTTGAATTCAATAATCATACTAATCTTGCAAATAAGATAAAAAATCCTAAACATAATAGAGTATCGTCAGTAACTAGATTTACCAAAAATTTTAAAGCTGAATTATATGTTTTAAAGTAGGAAACCTTCATGAGCAAATTCATCCCTCAATTATTGTACAACACAAAATTCAACTAATTCAAAAATTGATTATAATATCTTTTTTCACATATCTCCTTATATTATTATTAATATTTATAATACTCAATTTTATCAAATAAATAGCTTCATTAGGATTTTTCTTAAGTCGAAGACACTTAACTACTAACAAGATTTGCTATACCAGAATGCATTAATTTCATAGTCATATGAGCTTTCTCTTTCTTTAATTTAGCAACTTAATCCGAGAGTGTTTTATTTTGTTCATTCGAATCATCAATTTAACATTTCAATTCAGAATTTTCACTTTTCAAATTGTTGATCTTATCTTGCAATTCTTTAATCTCCTACTCTAAACTTGATATTTATTTCTTAAAACTATCCTAAAGTTATTAATTTTCCATTTTAATTTTATTGATTTAACTAATATTACTCTAATTCTATGATTATAACAAACTTATTTAATTATCATAACTTTGGGTCATAGTAATTTTCTCTTTTTTAATTTAATTTGCCTACTCTTATAATCTTAAGTTATCTTCTTGTAATTTTTATAGTTCCGCATTATTATTTATTTAAGAAGAAGGTCTCATGGAACTTGATTTAGCAATGTGGTTTTCTAAATTTTAGTTAATGTCACTTAATCTTTGTATATCATCTTCACAAGTTAATAATTAGGATTCTAGGTTCTTAATTTTTGCTAATTATATAGTATTCTATTTATTATTGATCTTAATTTGATCTTCATAAGTAGTTATTCTCAAATCTAATTCCTTAATTTTGATTTCATAATGCTAAATCATTTACTTATTTTAGCTCTAAATATCATCAATAGTTTTTTGTTTCAACTCATAATCCTTCAATTTCTTTTCATTTTCTTTTAGTTTTTATTCAAGAGTTTTAATTTAATAATCCTTATCTGCGAATGATTTATCCGTTTCACTTGATTTGATGTCTCTTTTCATTTAATTAACTATTGGTGGTTGTTCTTAATTTTTTTTTTGAAGTGCTTGAATTTACTATTCAATTATAAGTTTTTATTCCTCAAAACGCTTTATATATTTGAAAATAAAATACTTATTGCTATTCTTTCTATTCTCTTAAGGCCTATTCATATTTATCCTTAATTTCCTTTGAATTTGACTCTAAAATCTCATTTTGATTGATTAATTCAACATTTTTAATTTTTAACTGTTTGATTTGCTAAATGATATTATAATAGAATATACATCCAAAAATTATTATTTTTCATTTGACTAGATTTAATCATTTTATTTTCTTTTTAAAACTTCCTCTTCAAGCAGCTTCTACTATATTTCTTTAATTTATTAGTCTTTTTATTGTTCTATTTAAATGCTCACTTCTACCCTTTATTTTAGGTCTTCGTTTTATTATTTTAGCTGTTTTATTTAATTAGAATACTGATCTTATTCTCTATTACTCTTCTCTTCCATTAGTTCAAGCTAGGCTTACAATGTTTTAATCTTGTTTTCAAAATCTCTGTTAATTTCAAATACTTAATCTAAATGATGTAAAAGCAAATCCATTTCTTCCTTTTTATAAGCCAGCTATTGCTCTAATTATTAATTCTTATCTGTCAATTCAGGATTATCCGACCTTCTTGTACTCGCTATTTGATTGTTATTATTCGAATTGAAATTTCCGATCATTGAATTCAAATCTTAAATCTATTTTGTCATTGATAAAGTCTTAGATTATTAATCCTTTGTTAAATTCTAATACGCTGCTTCTTAATTCATCATAACTTGTTCAAGATTTTCTGCTTTCTTTTTTGCCTTATTTAATTAATCTACTAAGGTTTTATTTTCTTGAACCAATATTGCTAACTTTTATTCTAAATATATGATCTGTTGTTATTATTAATTAATCAATGATTCTTTCTAATATTTAATTATTATATATATTACATCACAATTCAATTTATTTAGTTTTTCTTCATAATGCTACTGAATTTGTTGTTTTTCAATTATACTCATTTTTTATACTTCTTCTAATTTGCCATTTATATGATGCTATGCTTTTAATTGTTGATTAGATATAGATTATTTATGGGTTTAATCCAATTCAACAATTTATTAACTTAAGATATCATTATGTTGTTTCAATTCGATTATCATTTTCTCATATTGTTGCTATTTTTCCAAATTTTGATTTATCATTTATTTTGTATTGGCTTCATATTTTTCCAAAGAGTTATTATAATTGTACTATAGTTAATCAAATTCTTTCTACTTTTATACTAATGTTTACTAAACAAAACTTAAATCTGTTGTTCTGATCTCTAAATTGCAAAGAATAATTACATAAATTTTATTAGAGTTCTTTATTAGAAACCACAAGATTATTTATGAGATCCTCTTGACCTTAGTTGTCCTTTGATGTAATTGCTAATTTAGCGTTCAAATTATTTATAACAGCCTCATTTTCTGTTCTCAATAATAAGTATTGTTATTTCCAAGTAGATTCTAAAGCATTTAAATTCTCTTGTGCTTAAAATCTTATTGCTTGCATTTCTCTTTAATGAATCAATGAAGTATTTGCCATTATTTCATCAAATTATCTCTTATTGTTTACTTTTTCCTACTCAATAATAATCATTTATTGCTTCAATTAAATGTTGTCTTAGAGGATTACATCGATTTACTTTTGTAACTCTCTAATTCTGTCATTAGCCTGTTGTAATAACAGTCTTAGCTATTCGAATTAAAGAAATTTTTACATCATTTACTACTTATTGCAATGGCTACAATTATGCAATCTATCTAAGCAAATCCACATTCTATTCTTTTAGGTTTCTGTATTGTTGATCATTAATTGGGCTATTTTGTACAAATAATTGAATTGGTTATGGAGGAGGGGCAGGTGTTCCTTATTTAGGTAAAAGGGATACACTTTGAGTCATTCTATTATTAGGAGTTTAGTTTTGACTCTACTCAAAAGGTTATGGGCTTTGTTATTGATTAATACTTGAAGTTTTAGTGTTTGGCTAGGGATCTTATTCCTGCACCTTCCCCAATCTATTCAAAAGTTTTGAAATATCACTAAAAAATAGTAGTTTGGTAATATTATACTTTTGAAATTGTTTTTATTCCTATATAATAGATTATACTTAAAAAAGTTTGTCAGAATCTTTTAACTAATTCTTTTCAGCACTTTCTTATTTATTCATGTTTGGAAAAATCATTTTGTATTGTTTCATTTCATCTTGGTCATCTTGCGAACTAGATCAATTTAATGAATACTCTTTTGGTTTTTGCTGTTTTTAGATTAAAGCACTAATATTACTGAGTTTTTCTCCAATAGGTTTTCGTTCCATTATGAATTTCAATTTATTTAAATTAATTATTATGTATTTTAAAAATATTGTTATAAAAATAATAGATGATATATAGTAAATTATTTTTATCAAAATATATCAATACTTTTGATACTTTAGTATCTGTTAGAACTTAATTATTTTAATTAGTTATACATGTGTGACAATTATTAATCAGATTGTTATTTATTGTAATTAAAAGAATTCTAAATTTGTAATAATATAACAAATTAATTACATTGTCTCGATACTATTCAGATTGAAAGTCAACTGAATTTCTTTATTAAGTCATTTCACCAAAAAAGGAATTTTTATGTCTTGTTAAAGATTGAATCGGTAACAATTTTTTTATCTATCTTATTTAAGCCTAAAATAACTAAATGAGTATACTCTTTCAGGAGAAAACTATTAAATAGGTTACTATTCTTTGGTTCCTTCAGCTATTTTCTCTAATTTCTTCAAAATATAACTATCTATTGGAGATTGCAGCAAACCTTCTTCACTCTTTTTCAAATATTGAGACGATGACTTCTATTTCAAAGGTAATTTTAAAGGGGAGTATAAATTTATTAAATTGCTTTGGATGGGTTTAATTTACAAAGTAGACATTATATCTGTATCTTATAGTAATTGTTGCGATTCGTTAATTAAGTTCATTTTCTCCTTTAATTTTTGAATTTTATTAACGCTATCATTTTCAATAGAACCATCATTTTTACTCTATGTCTTCTGCAATAATACATTTGGATCAAGATTTCTGATATTTCTTCTCTTTCTACTAATGACCCCATTATTAATGGAAGATTTTTCATTCCCAATATATAACCCCAAATTTTAATCAGAAAACATCATGCCCTACGACTACAGTTGCTATCTCTATATTTTTTTTTCCTCAATTAAAAAATTATAATAATTCTCCCCCTACTTTGCTAACTCTTATTTATTTTACAATGTGCTGTTATTTTTCTTCTATAATTCCTTATTCTATTTCTATATAGATTATTCCTTTAATAACTTTTTCTTTTTCTAGAAATACAGGGATTCTATTAATGTTAATTATTATTGATGATTTTTCATTATTTATATATTTATTAATATATTTCTGAATAAATTTATGAATAAAATTACAATTGTAATTAAATCAAGTTTCAAATTCATTTCCTATCCTCTCATTTTTAAATTCATTTTGCAAAATAGGATTAATAATCTACTAATCACTTAATTTAATAGTGTTGAGTTGGTATTTCATATTCTAAATTTGTAATTCTTTTTATTGATCAACACCCTCTAATTAATTAATTTTTTTTTATTGATCCTTAATCAAAGCAGTCAACTCATTAATTCTCTTCGTAAAGAATTCAAATTAAGTTTCAGCCTAATACTGAGGTGATGTATTTTTTAATTAAAACAGTTATAATTCTAATTATTTGTTTTTCTTATCTGCCAGATTTAATTTCTATTCTAATTCCTCAATCAATTACTTTTGAATCACCAATTAATCATAACTATCTAAACATCTCTTAATTATTACCTCTTTATTTGTATTCGTTTAAAATGTCATTTAATTCTTCCACTCTTTATCTTAAGGCCTTGATTAATGATGTGACATTAGTTCCATCAGGGATTAAATACTCTTCTTTCTTTAGCAGTTCTAGTTCAGTGATAATTTCTTATCTTGATCTCAACAGCTCTTCTACGTCAGCTAAATACACTCTTCTTTCCTCAGAAATCAGGGCAATTTGTTAGACTAGGAAAGTAGCAGCTTCCTTTTATTGTTAGTCACCGTGAGCATCAATTATTTGAAGTATTCTTTTATTTAATTCATGGTTTTTCAGATCAAATTCTTAATGAAGAGATTAAATATTTTGTGTTAATCTATCAATTTAGTATTTTAAAGCTCTAATTTATTCTTCCTTTCTAGCATTATCCTAAAGTAATTGAGTCCATTTCCTACTACATTCGTTATCTCTACCTTCCCACTCAATTAATTATTTTTTTAGTTAAGTAAGTTCTCTAGAATTCTATTCAAGCATTTAGATGTGATGTTGTGGACTAATAATATGTATAAGAATATTACTTTCCTGAAACATTGGATAGCAATTAAGTAATTTGCTTTTTTTAGCCTTAAATTTCTTCATCTTTTAATTATAGTATTTTCCTTAATTACAGGATTTCAGCCTTGTATATAACAAATACTTATTTACATTTTAGATTGCTATCTTCTTTCCAATATCTGTTATTTTGTATTCTTCTATTTCTGCTAATCTAAGTTCATTTTCTTTTCTACACAACTCAAGTTTAGTCTATAAATCCTTTGTAAACGGTTCAATAGATTGGTATTTTGTCTAAAATTGAGTATAACTGTAATATACTTAGATATTTGAAAATTCGCTTGATAATTTCTCGTATTTGAATTACAAATCAAGAAATGCCTATGACTTTTTATCATAATCAGACTATTATTGCAAAACCTATGTTCTTAAATCATTATTTTCTCTTTCTAATTAGGAGATGATTTATTAAGCTGTTTCAATATTTTTATTTTTAATCAGATCCTAAGTAGTTTCATCAATTTTTTGTTTATCAGCCATCAAAATAGAATCAGGACTGAATTGCTTTAATTGAAATGGAATTTATTATGATGATTATTATTAAATTACCGGTGTTTGTTAATTTTGGAATTCCTAATTTTTTTATTTTACGAAATCAACAACTGAAATTTTCATGTCTTTAACTGGTTGATTAGGTTTCTTTTATTTGTATGCCATCTTTGTATCGCTATAAAATGTGTAGAGAATTGGGTATTTTCCAAATTGGATTATGTCTCCGCTGAATATTTCGAACTATTGTCCTTTTCCCACATTAACTCCGTTTACAAATGTTCCATTCAGAGATTGCTTATCAACAATTAGGATTTTATCCTATACCAATATTTCACAATGTTGTTTCGATATCGAAGGATGCTATTTTACATAGGATGGCAATTACATCAATTTTGAGATGACATTTGTCTACTCTGCCAACAACATACACTTTAGATTGAATTTAAATTGGTGAACCGTCTTCGGGCATTAAACAGGGATAACTCATAATAAATAAAATTATTGAATTTATTAAAAAGAAAAAAGAAATTAAAAATATGTTGAGACCTAGATATATATCATATAGTTCAAACATTACTTAAGGTGGATTATAAGCAATCTAACAGTCAGTGAATCAAGAATAATTTAGTAATTTTTCATATTTATAAAGGAAATGGTAGTAGTACTAAATAGTTAGCATAAAAGTTCGTACCATTTATCAAAGAGAGGGATAGCATGAATCGGTTGGTGACAAAATTACAATCGATATCACCAGAACGGACTGAGAGAAAGAGTTCATGTGGAGTAGTTAACAATAGCAAGGAGAAGTGGAAATAAAATTAGTAGGTTAGGATAAAGAGTCCAACTAAGAAAGTTCTTATATAGAGTGAGCTTTCATTAAGTAATCTCTAATGATTATATAAGGTAAACAGAGAAGTTTTTCTAATGTTGATAATAAATTGAAATTAATATAGGCCTATACAGATAGACTTCATATCAATTAAGATGAATCAATTCAACAGATTAATATGAATCAGGATGACATTAACTTTTAGCTCCAAATGAACAATCAAGAGAACATGAAAGTTAATACTCAGAGATCTCCAATTAAACTCAGAGTTGTCAAATAGGATAGTTTACATAGTGATATACTAAACAAGAAGATTCAACATCAGAATTCAGAAAAATTGAAATTGTACAACCAATTAGTTGAGAAGCAGAAATTAAATAATAACGGAGAAATTAGAAAAAGCGATATCAAGTTGCCAGCTTTGTTGTTTAAGCAATACATGAAGGAAATCTTGGATGGAAACTAAAAAATAAAGGAAGTGATCAATTCTTAGGATGAAATTAAATACGAATTTCCTGCTGAATTCGAATAAAAGATTATTTAGATGAAGAAGGATGTGAGAAAGATGAAAAATAAATTGAAAAATTGGGAGAAAGACAGAAGAACATCCGAAGATTTAAGACATTTAAAAGAAGTTGCTGATTCTATCATTCAAAGAAATGAATGATTTTTATTTTTTTATATATATTTATTTATATCGAATTCCCCTTTATTATACAAATTATCATGAATAAATTTTGTTAAATTAATTACAAATGGATGGTATAATTGCATTTAATCTTATTATTAATTATTATTTGTCATGTCCGACATTGATGAAGAGTCTTCGAAATTATTCTCGCAAGATTCTATGCAACAGGACGATGATGATGAAAATTAGAGATTAGACAACGATGACATTTGGAAGGTCCTTCGAATGTTTTTTTAAACTCATGGATTGGTCTCATAGTAAATAGGCTCGTATGAAAGCTTCGTTGAAAATGTGATCAAATTTGTAAGAGGTCATGAAGGTACTTTTGTTGTCAAGGTCAAACCACAATACAAAGAAGAAGAGCGGCAAGAAGGTAATTATGAAATAAATTCTACTTTAGCTCATCTTGAATACCTATATCAATTCTAAATAACAAGATGTTTCATGGGAAAAAAGAATATTCACGTGGATAAATTTGAGGAAGAAATCTTTCCTATGATCGCTCGGTTGAGAGATCTTACCTACTCAAGATAACTAAAAATAGACTTAGAAGTAACGATGCAATAAAGAAATAAACGAGATGGCACAATTGAAGAGAAAAGTAAACAATAATTTAAAGGACTACCTTTTTTCAAGTTACCTATAATGGTAAGAAGTAGGTTTTGTTCATTGCAAAAAGATCCTAAAGACGCTGAATTAATATAACTAAGAATATAAAATGGGGAATGCGGATTCGATCAGGGAGGATATTTTATATTAAGAGGATCTGAAAAGGTTATTGTTGCTTAGGAAAGAATTGCAAATAACGTAGTGTTAGTTTTCAAAAGCAAAATCGTCAATAAACCATGGGTGGCTGAAATTAGATCATAACCAGACTTATTTTCCAATCCAAATGTCTTTAAAGTTGAACTTCGATATATTTAAAACACTCCTGTTATCAGGTGCAGTGTGAAACAATTCAATTCAACTTAAGGAATACCCCTTTTTACTTTATTCAGAGCCTTAGGCATCAGTAGTGATTAAGAAATTTTAGAAAGGATTGTCTACAATTTAGAAGATGAATTTATGGGTCCCATGTTAGAAATGTTGTATGGATCTTTACAGGAAGGAGGTGAATATGAAGATGAAGAATTATGTCTGAGATGGATAGGAAATAAGATAAAGAAGGCTGAAAATTAAGATCCTGAAACTTTGATTTAGGAGGCTAAGAAATTGATTAATAAAAATATCTTACCTCATATTGGAGTTTCGACTGAAAGTAGAGACAGAAAAGCTTATTTTTTGGGTTATATAGTTCATAGATTATTGAATGCATCATTGGGAAAAACAGATTAGGATGACAGAGATCATTATGGCAAAAAAAGATTGGACATGGCAGGAGCTATGATGATGGGAGTATTCAAGACATCATTTGAATAATTTAAATAGAATTCTAAAAAGGCCTTAGAAAAATACATCAATGGGGGAAGAAGAGGTAGAGGATAGCAAACAAAAATCGAGAATATGAGATAACCCGATGATATTAAATCCTTTTTTGATGGAGAATAAATTTCCAAAGATATTGATAATGCATTAGCCACTGGAAATTGGGGAAGAAGTAAGGAAGGTTAAGTTGTCAAGACAGGAGTTGCTTAAACCTTAAAGAGAGAGACATCACTATTTGCAACACTTAGTCATTTGAGAAGAATGAACGCACCTATTAATCCATAAATGAAATTGAGTAAACCTAGATAATTACATAACACTCATTTTGGATTCATATGTCCAGCTGAAACACCTGAAGGATAAAAAATTGGTATCGTTAAGAACTTATCGTTAATGACTACTGTTTCAAATGATTTATAACCAAAGGACAAAGAAACTTTGCTAAAATTGATTATGGTTTCTTAATAAAATGATTTTGACTTTATCTTGCTTCAGGGAGACTTCTAAGCCTCAGACATTCCCAGAATGACTAAAGTATTAGTGGATGGTAATTGGATAGGATTTACTAAAAACCCCGAATAATTCATCCATGAATTCAAAAATCTTAGATCCGCTGAAGAATCTTACATTCCTATTGAAGTTTCCATTAACTTTGATTATGTGAATAAAGAAATTAGAATTTACACGGATGCAGGAAGATGCATGAGACCCTTATTTATTGTTTAGAATAATAAATTAAAGTTGATGAAGGGCGTACTAAATCAAATAAGTGATTGGGAAGAATTATTGAAAAATAAATGTGTGGAATTATTGGATGTAGAGGAAGAGGAAGGATCTTTAATAGCCATGGATATTGACATTATGATGAGAGGTACACAGAACTTTAAGAGATACACTCATTGTGAAATACACCCATGCATGATGTTCGGAGTTTGTGCATCAGTCATTCCATTTGCAAACCACAACTAAGGACCAAGAAATACTTTATAAAGTGCTATGGGTAAATAAGCTATGGGATTGAATTCAACTAATTTCAATATCAGATTTGACACATTGGTTCATATCTTACATTATCCTCAAAAACCTTTAGCATCATCAAAAGCTGTAGATTTTATCACAGTTAATGAAGTTCCCATAGGCATTAATTGCGTTACTTCAATTGCTTGTTTTACAGGGTATAACCAAGAAGATTCCATTATTATTAATTAGTATGCAATAGACAGAGGATTCTTCCGATCGGTCTTCTATAGAACATATAAAGAATCAGAAGATAAGGATCCTGATAATTTCACTGAAACTAAAATAACAAAACCTATTGGTGACAATTTTGCTGGCAAATTATTTATCAAGTTGGATAGTGATGGAATTGTACCACCAGGAACTAAAGTAGATGAAGAAGAGCCTATCATAGGAAAAGAATTAATTATAGATAATATAATGTTGAACACTGCAAATGGTTAAAAAAATACAAAGGAATGTTCATTATTAACAAGGAGAGCAGAAAGAGGAGTTGTTGATTCTGTTTTGATTAGTGAAAATCAGAAAGGATATAAATTAGTAAAAGTAAAGGTGAGATCATTAAGAATCCCACAAATCGGAGATAAGTTTTGTAGCAGACATGGATAAAAGGGTACTTGCGGTATGACTTACCGACAAGAAGATTTACCATATACTCTTGTAGGCATTTCACCAGATCTAACTATCAATCCACATTGTATTCCATCAAGAATGACAATAGGTAGTATTATTTAATCAATGTAGGACATTTAATTGAATGTTTGTCATCGAAATTAGCTTCCATCAAGGGATAATTCAATGATGCTACACCATTTGCATAAATATTAGTAAATGATATTGCTAATGAACTGCATAAAGTTGGATGGCAAAAATGGGGTAATGAGGTTATGACTAATCCATACACGGGTAATATGTTTTCAATTCCTATTTTTGTTGGACCTACTTATTATTAGAGATTAAGACATTTAGTAGATGATAAGATGTACGCAAGATCAAGAGGACCTGTTACTGGAATCACCAGATAACCAACTCATGGTAGGAGTAGAAAGGGAGGATTAAGATTTGGTGAAATGGAAAGAGATTGCATTATTTCTCATGGTAATACACATTAAAATTTATGATAGGCACTGCTAAATTTTTAAAAGAAAGGACATATGATGTATCAGATGCATTCAGAGTTCATGTTTGTTCTAAATGTGGATTGTTTGCTGTTGCCAATTTGGAAAATCAAGAATTCTACTGCAATATTTGCAAAAATTAAAATAATCAAAATTAAATTTATTAAGTTCAAATGCCATATGCAGCAAAGACCTTAATTTAAGAGCTGATTTCAATGAATATTGCTCCGAGATTGAAGTTTGATTAATCGAAATTGAAACATGAAATTTGATATATTATTTAGATAAATTGATATATAATCAATTATGTTTTAGTAGTTGAAATATTTAATTAACATTTATAGGCTTTTATAGATACCCATCAAATAATGATAACTAAGATATTTCATTTTTAGAATGAGCTGAGCATGCAATGATATGTGTATTCACTCGCTCTCTAATCATAGATACAGCTTAATAACCATTGATTATTGGCATTTCAATATCCATAAGAATATATTCATATGTAGAATGTAGATTACATCCATTATAAGCATCAATTTTTGCGATTGCCTCTTTCACCGAGTATGCCTTAAAAAATACTTTAAATTCAAAATGAATACTTTGTCAATCATCAAATCATATTGTTTCAGCTAGCTCTCAACAATTGAAATGTTAAAAGGCATGTCATCCACAATTAATATTTGTACACATTTACACATACTAATATTACTCGGGGATTAAACCATTTCATTATATTTGCACATTTAAGGTATATTCCTAAGCTAATTGACAATCCCTTCATTATCTTCATCATATATAATGCACACGCTATCGTCAATATCTTTCTTATTGTGAATCTTAAATGAAAATGTCGATCCCTGGTTTTCCCCCTCTGAGTACACTCTGATCTCTTATCCTAATTTCTAAGCCAATATATTGGATATCATCAATCCCAAACCAACTCCAGTAATATTATCGCTATTTTCCAACCTACCAAAAGCAGTGAATAGTTTGTTTTATTCATTCTTAGGTATCCCTATCCCAGTATCTTTAACTTTTATTTCAACACAATCTTCATCTGAATCTAAATAAATAGTAATTCCACCTGTTTCCGTAAACTTAATTGCATTTGATAACAAATTTAAAATTATTTGCTTAACTCTATTTGGGTCTGTTGCTATCCACTAAGGAACATGTTTTTATTATTCTAATTTCATATACAGTCCTTTTGAATTAGCCTATATTTTCATTATCTCAATGATTTCATTTATTAACTCCGTTATCTTAACTTATTAGAACTATAAATTAAATTTTCCTGCTTTCAACTATGCTACATCCAAAAGATCATTTACTAAACCTAACAATGACGAAGCCATTGATTTAATCGGTTGCATTGATTTTTCTAACTATTTTACGCACTAATCGTTTGCGTTATGATTAGGGTTCAAAACATTTCCAACGCTTTGAATAATAATATTTAAAGGTGTTTTGAATTCATGTGCTACCTTATAAAGCATTTGGGATTTATTAAAGTTAGTTTTTTCTAGAGCGGCTATTTAATTCACGTGAGTAATATCTCTTATTATAAATAAAATGAACCCCTTATTATATGCAATGTATGGTTTTAAAATTACTTAAAATATCTTTTACATCTCTCCTTAACATATAATACTAATATCTTAGAAGAACTTTAATGTTAATGAGTTTAAATCACATTTAGGTTCTCTTTCCAACATTTGTTTAAAAATTTACTTAACTTCATCAATTATTATTGGAGATTATGATAAGTTGTTATAATGCTATTCATTATCTTGATTATTTTAATCTTCCTCTTCCTACTCCACAGAACTCTTCAATTAGATGTAATCTGATTTTTCATTACCCAAGCTTTTTGATCTGGATTTCAACTTTTTATAAAGAATCAAAAACAATTATTAATAATTATCTTACTCCGAATTTATTGCATTTCTTAGAGCTAACAATTTCTATTTTGCAACATCAGCAAAGGTTTCATTCATCAAACTTCTAAATGCTGCATTATTAAATTAAACATGAAGTTATTCATTTAATATTAAAACTCCATCAGGAAATGCAGTTAATAATTTTTTGAATAAATTGTATTCTGTTTGTTCAAATTCCTTGTTCGGTGATTATTAACCGATTTCTAAGACATGCTGTTTATATTATATTGAATCTCTTTTTGTTATCATGCTGAGAATTTCGGATTTTGAAGTTTCTTTTATTTTGGATTTGTTTTTATAATGAGTGTAGAACAAATAAGCTGCACTAGTTGATAGGAATGCCAGAATCTCACAAATGGTGATGATATCAATTTTTAAACTAATCACTACAATACCAATTGCACTAATGAAACATGTCCACCATGATTTCATAGCCATAATAATTGAACAACCAACAGCCACATACATTATTGGCGATTATAATAACATAGCATTCAAAATCATTATTATTATTGTGCTCATATTTATGATTGAAAATACCAAATTATTTTCTTTTAACAATCTAGTTGACAATATTCCTGCTGATAAACAAATCAGTGCAATTGAATAATCAGAACTACCTACAAAGCTCATATACAACACATGATCTAATATTCCAAACACCAAAAGATTTCTCATTTTTTTAAACCTATTAAACTATAATATAATAATCTTATAAACTTTATAAATTAACATATATGATATCGTTATTGTATTTTTAATGTTTCATTATTTAGATATCAAATTGTAAGACTTTGTTTTTCAATTATAAGTGACAGCTTATTTTATTATTGCATTAAGTTTAGATTAAAATTACAAGTTAACCTAATAGCCATAGGTCATAATATAATACATCAGCGAAACAATGGTAGAACTTAACTGTATCACTTAAAATCTCTCTAAAGGAGCTGAAAAAAGTAATAAAAATTGATAATTCACTGTCATTTACCTCAGAAATATGTATATAAACTGATTTATCGGAAATTTAAAGATGAATGCTGTTAAAAAGAACGTAAACCTAGATAGCCCAACATGAGAAAGTATCATCGCTATAACACAAATTAAATTTGGAACTAACCAAAATATGAGTAATTTCTAGTTTAGTTAAAGAAAATAAAGAAATTATATTAATTTGAGGGATTATACACTGATTGTTCATCTCTATTAATTGGTTATGGATTAAACCAATAAGAGAAGGATTAGATGATTTATATTAAAATTCAAAATTCTACAGATTGAATCCTCATATTTAATCACAAAATTGATTTTATTAAAAAAGTATTACGAATATTAATGTTAAGGTTATCAAATTGTTAAAAAATTGTGTATTAAATTGTCATGAATGGAAGAAAATAACATTGGTGTAAAGAATTATCTATTTAATATTTAACAGTTTTGCAAATGCCTCTGCACTTAACCTTAAAATAATAGGGCTACTAAAAGCATAAGCAAAGTAATATTATGTAATGAAAGCTGAAAACATTAAGAAAGATAAAGATAAATTCAATTTTTGGTTCTTGCTTTAGTAAGCGATGAAAACTAATTCGACTGCGGAATATTATACAAAATAAATCATCGGAAGGCTAAATAGCTCATTAATATTCAATATGTGTACTATCTATTTCTCAAGACTGCCTTTAATATCCTTTGGCATCTTAAAAGTGGAAATCTTGTAGTGCCTTTTATAATATAAGATCTAAAGGAGTAAAAGTTTAATTGCCCAATTAAAAGGCATATCTTATTATTATAGAAACCGATTTTCAGGATGCAAAGATGTAACAATAACCCTTTGGACTATTGAGTATTCATAATTAATTAATATTATAAGTAAAGGATTATACTAATTAGAAATAATTACCTTTTATTTTGGATGCTGTTTCAAACAAATTCAAAACATACATGATTATTCAAAACTCTAAGGTGTTGAATCTAGAGTAAAATATAAGCTTGATGCATCTGAATTTGCTAAATATTTCTCTTTCAATTGATTTAGCTCAAGCACCAAATTCAAATCTTAAGACATTAAAATATTTGGTACAATTAATCGGTTGCGTATACCAAAGTCTTAAAGTTTTTGATCACCAAAAATAACTATAGATAAATATTTGTTATTAAGATTCTCAATAAATAAATATGATAACATCATTATATTAAAAGAAATTAATAATCCAACTAATAAGAGATGTTTAGAAGTTAAAGGTATATAATTATTATTATACTAATTTTTTTGCAAAAGATTTAAATTGTATAGATGTTGTGATTGATGTATCAGTTCGAGAAAATCGAATGTCATAACTCAATTACAGAGAACTAGAATGACTCCTCCTGAAAAATTCAATTGATCTAATTTAATTTTCTCTAAAGCTTTAATTTTTAATTTTTAGAGTAAATCAAACCCATGATTAGAACTATGGCATTTCTCAGAAAGTGAAAAATGATTGCTGTTTCTCTTAGGATAGGAGTAAATGTTTTAAGTACAATAACAGTCTAGAATTTACTTTTTTTTCACATTATGAGTAGTAATCTTTATTTTGCCATGATAGTGCAATATACATTTATAACTAGAGGAAACATTAACAACTACAAATGTCGGATGTTGAAATATATTTATGAATTTAATTTCAAAAACCTAAATAAAAAATATAAACAAATAATAATCTAAATCTTTAATTCTTAGTTAATCTATTTCAACTATTCTTAAATCTGAGTTATAAATTACAGAAAATTAAAATTACATTTGCTTTTCACCAGATGGTAAATATTTGGCAAGCTTGAATCCATCTTCTTCTCCTTTATCAATATTGAAGTTTTAAATCTTTAAATGATCCATATCCTTGAATTTTACTGGAAAATCATTTAGATTTAATCTTCGAAATATAAGTTATAACGGTAGGAATAACTTGTAAATTTAAAATCAATAAAATAGAGATAATTGTAAAAATAAAAGAAGTTAAATTTAATAAACGAAGAAAATATATTTAACAGTTTATTATTCAAAAAGTTATCATTTTTTTCAGAAATTGGAAACTACATTGGCTTAAGCAAATATAACATTATAGAAGTTACGAAAATTACTTAAACTTTTTGAAAGAATGACTTTACTAATTAAAATAAACTTGAGTGGTATTTGATTATTATTTTATTTTTAATTTTTGAGATGCAAAGGATGATAGTTGATAAGAATCTTGGCCTTTTAGCAGATTTTTTACCATTTTATCAGTTCAAAGTCCAGTCAACCTTTTAGGACCTATTTGACATCATCTATAAGCTTCTAAAAGACTTACATTCGAGTGGGAAGGAAGATTATAGACATCCTTAGAACACGTAAAGATATCTATCTAATTAATGATCTCAACATTATAATGTTAGTTTTTTTCTAGTCTTGGGTATAAATAGGAATTCAGAAGATCTAAAATAAATAAGCAGGAAACGTAGCCAAATATAAAAAAGGAGTAATTCAATACATCAAACTGAACAAATAATAAACAGAAGTGTAAATAAAACTTATGGTGAAACCTTAATTAGACTTAATTAAAGTAATCTAAAGGTAGTTTTCCGATTCCACTTTAGCCCATTAATCGAAATAATAAGGAGGTAAAGAAGTTTATATAATTAGAAGCTAAGAATAATTAAGTGAATTTTTCAAATCATAAGGTAATGTATTTAATTGCTATAAAGTAGCTAACAAGAATTTGCTGATCTGTTATTTGAATATCGGTTCACAGGGGAAGATTCATATGCGATCGTTTTCAGGATAGTAGACTACTGAATGAACTGTCTCATCTAGTCTAATCATTGCCATAAAATATAGGAGCACTGATTTATAACTTACAAGTATATTTATTATATAAAGGCTGGTAAAACCATCTTTCGCATTTATATATTGTTAAGCAAAAAGTTTCAGTTTGGACTATAAGATGCTGCCACTATCTTTCAGTAAGAATGGTGGACTTTGTATTGACTTGCGGATCCATTAATTAAATTTGAAATGTCTAAGTTTGTCTATTTTCATTAATATGATTCATATTTTCGAATGGTTGATCTAAAGAAATTTGCGTTTAATTGTGGTGTATTAAAAAGGTAAAGTGTTTAAGGAAGTTACTTTATAATCACCACAAGAAATTCTGAACTGTTAATATAAATGTCACAAAATTATTAACTGGAAGCAGAACTGAACTAAAAGGTTTCAACCTATATATAGAAGAGTGATAACAGACAAGAACATCAAGCAAATGATATGATTTGTAATCTCATCAGCATCAAACGCATTCATTCATAATTCGATAAGCATTTATATAAATAGGCAAATAAATTGATTAATTAATCTGAAATTAAGAATAAAGAATTATGTTTTTCCTTATTGAATTTGTGCAAGATTAATACTAAGCATCACCCTTTCAGTAGCTGGTTGAACAGCATCTCAAAGGTTTACAAATATTTATGGCGTAAATGCAGAAGAATAACAAAGTGGCATAGCAAGAATGATTAACATTTAATAGGAGACATACGAAATTCAACATTTATGAATATTGGAATAGTGTTATAATGCGCTACATCTCCATACTACTTTAGAGGCAAATGAATTTTAATCTTTTGAGGGAAGAGAGGACGTAGATTCGATAAGAATAGCTACCAACCTTTGTAGATTAGATCTATTTTTAGCTTGTTGATGGTTTAGAGAAGAGGTAAATTTTACTAAAATTCTTCATTTTTACAATATAGAAAATATCATGTCTAGAGTTATCTAAGCAAGCCCACCATAGCTTAACTCCCATTAACTCTTTTCTTAAGAAGCTCGATTTATTTACTAGAAGTTTATAATTATATGCAATTATTTCGTTTTTATTGCATCATTCTGTATATGTTATATTGATACTTCGTTTAGTTGAAAATCTAACGAATCATAATATTTAGAGTTCATCAGTTTCATTCAGTTTATTTTGAAAATCAAGATAGGTGTTTTTTCAGAACAATTGCTTAATTTAATTACTGGTATTGAAAACGAAGATCAGTAAGAGCTCAACATTATAAGCTTAGGTAAAATGTTTACTAATAAGTGTGCCATCAGAACTATACCTACTTTGACATAATTTAATTGACACTTAATAGGAGATCTTCGATTGTACATTTGATATTGTATTACATTAAGCAATATAGCAACCATAAGATTCAATTAATTTTAGGATATTTAACAAAGCGATAGGGAGTAACCAATTCAGTTAAGTAGATACAGTTTAATGATGAAGACAATTACAATGTACATAAATTATTTAAAAATTATATAAATATGACATGTAGGATTTTCAGACAAGCAACTTCATATTTGAATAGTTCTTTGCTAGGGTGAGTGGAAGAAAACTTTGTTCATATCAACACCTTAAAACAGTTCTCATATTCATTATACTAAATGTTGTAGAGATGCCATATTTATATATGGATTTGGTTAAGCAAAGCACAAGTACATACATTGGCTCTGATAGCACAAGTAATGTTGAAAGTTTAACATGAATTAAACAAGAGTAGTGCTATTATTTAAACATACTGCAAATAAACAAGTTGCATAATTACCTGATCAAACCATACAAGTATATTGATCAGTATCTCAAATAGATCCAGAAATATAATTTGAACAGATGGAGTGATATGTTGATTGCATAGTGTAAGTAATTTTAATTATAGCAGTCCCTATCACCAGATCGTGTTGGTCTACATTTCAAACAGTTAAACTACTTTCACAAGTTGTAGACGATATCTAATAATATAGTTAAAGGCTAAAACTATTAGTGCATTTTCTAGAATCTCAAACTGAATAATAATAAGCGGTATATGCTGAGATATCTATTTGTGAAATAAAATTCACATAAAGAAGTATATTATTTGATCCTCTCCCTTATTGGCAAGTAGCCACTAGAATTAAAAATCTCCTATTAAACAAGCCTTTGCTTAGGCATGATGCTCAATTTTAATAAGTATTTCAAGACATCAAAAGTTAATTATTAATTTCAAGTTATGGTTCAAGATTTGTTGCAGAACGGATAGCAAGTAGATGAAGCTATGCTCCAGCACATAATCTACAAATAAGAGCATTTCTGATGCACTTATCACATGTAACAGGAAGGTTAACAACTTAAAGTTCATCTTAATTTTCACANCTTTGTAGATTAGATCTATTTTTAGCTTGTTGATGGTTTAGAGAAGAGGTAAATTTTACTAAAATTCTTCATTTTTACAATATAGAAAATATCATGTCTAGAGTTATCTAAGCAAGCCCACCATAGCTTAACTCCCATTAACTCTTTTCTTAAGAAGCTCGATTTATTTACTAGAAGTTTATAATTATATGCAATTATTTCGTTTTTATTGCATCATTCTGTATATGTTATATTGATACTTCGTTTAGTTGAAAATCTAACGAATCATAATATTTAGAGTTCATCAGTTTCATTCAGTTTATTTTGAAAATCAAGATAGGTGTTTTTTCAGAACAATTGCTTAATTTAATTACTGGTATTGAAAACGAAGATCAGTAAGAGCTCAACATTATAAGCTTAGGTAAAATGTTTACTAATAAGTGTGCCATCAGAACTATACCTACTTTGACATAATTTAATTGACACTTAATAGGAGATCTTCGATTGTACATTTGATATTGTATTACATTAAGCAATATAGCAACCATAAGATTCAATTAATTTTAGGATATTTAACAAAGCGATAGGGAGTAACCAATTCAGTTAAGTAGATACAGTTTAATGATGAAGACAATTACAATGTACATAAATTATTTAAAAATTATATAAATATGACATGTAGGATTTTCAGACAAGCAACTTCATATTTGAATAGTTCTTTGCTAGGGTGAGTGGAAGAAAACTTTGTTCATATCAACACCTTAAAACAGTTCTCATATTCATTATACTAAATGTTGTAGAGATGCCATATTTATATATGGATTTGGTTAAGCAAAGCACAAGTACATACATTGGCTCTGATAGCACAAGTAATGTTGAAAGTTTAACATGAATTAAACAAGAGTAGTGCTATTATTTAAACATACTGCAAATAAACAAGTTGCATAATTACCTGATCAAACCATACAAGTATATTGATCAGTATCTCAAATAGATCCAGAAATATAATTTGAACAGATGGAGTGATATGTTGATTGCATAGTGTAAGTAATTTTAATTATAGCAGTCCCTATCACCAGATCGTGTTGGTCTACATTTCAAACAGTTAAACTACTTTCACAAGTTGTAGACGATATCTAATAATATAGTTAAAGGCTAAAACTATTAGTGCATTTTCTAGAATCTCAAACTGAATAATAATAAGCGGTATATGCTGAGATATCTATTTGTGAAATAAAATTCACATAAAGAAGTATATTATTTGATCCTCTCCCTTATTGGCAAGTAGCCACTAGAATTAAAAATCTCCTATTAAACAAGCCTTTGCTTAGGCATGATGCTCAATTTTAATAAGTATTTCAAGACATCAAAAGTTAATTATTAATTTCAAGTTATGGTTCAAGATTTGTTGCAGAACGGATAGCAAGTAGATGAAGCTATGCTCCAGCACATAATCTACAAATAAGAGCATTTCTGATGCACTTATCACATGTAACAGGAAGGTTAACAACTTAAAGTTCATCTTAATTTTCACATACTGTTGGGTCAATGTGAGTAGCATAGTATCCATCATCAACAGATATGACAGAATTGTTGAAACTAACACTAATTTTTTAAATGTCGCAATTGACTTTGAACAGTGAGTACTATTAGTATGATGTTTATAAGAAGAAAAAACGCCATTATCGCTTTCAGTTGTTGAATTTATGCATATAGGACTCAGAGTAAAACAAAAACTTAAGAGGTTTTACCTGGTGTGAAAGCAGTATACAATTCTATGCTCGGAGAACTATAATTAGAGTGTAATACATTCAATAAGTTGAATTCGTGCAAGCTGCTTATTAAGATGTGTATTAAATAGAAATTTTACATTTAAGTAACAATTAATGATTTACACATAATGTTATCAACAAAATTATTGCAGCGCAGCTTCCTATTATTCAGAAATAAATCAAATAGGTATTCATATATGTTTGTGTAGCTAAAAAGAAATATTCATGAATATAATTTCATGTATCTCCATCAGATTACATTAAAACTGAAGCGAGTAACATAATAGATCAGTTAGGAAGGTTGGACTTACTTATCCCAAATCAGGAATCTTTACCTAAACCTTTAACAATTATTTTGTTTTCCAAGAATATTTAAATCTAAATGACAATTAGAATTTAGAATATCCATCAGAAAAAAACAAGAATTGCCATCTTCAGTCAGGTTATATTCATTCCCTGCTTTATTCAACAAATTAAAAGAACTTCCATGATAGTAATAGTATTTCCTTCACAGCACATAAAGTAGGCAAACATTTAAAACTTTTCGGAATCTAAAAAACAGTGTATCTCTTAAATGTTTAATCTATTTCGACATAAAACAAAATAGGAGATGAACATTGATGAAAATAAATACTAGTAAATAACATAAAATGTATGCTCCTGAAGTAAGTAAGTTAATCAGAATGATCAACTTAAAACTTCTATAATATAAAGAGCTCTAGGAATTACATTAATACAATACTTAACATGTACTTCAAATTTTTTATTATCAATTCTTTATAAGATCTACCCCAAGAGTATCATAATACCAAGATATGTAAGATCAACATTGAAGGTAATGGTTAGTTCAACGAAGATTTATTCAGTCAAAACAACGTTCTTTACAGATATCATTAGCCTATTAATAAATATTGTAAACTGATAAAGACCATAAGAGTGACAATATACAAAAATGACCATCTTCAAAATAAGCTAAGTTAAGCAGTTGGTTGGAGATTATGTGCATAAATGATAGAGATTAGTTTAATAATTGAAATAACCAATAGCTAATCAATCTCTTAGCAGTTCACTTCTTACTAAGGAATTAGAGGTGACAGGAGGGATTTTCTCACATAAAGTTGTGAATGTGATAATTAATTTAAGTGATGTAATATTGGGAGGTCCACAAAGATCGCCAGAAAGGTGACTATTGATTAAGCACAAGAAAGGATAATCCTTGCCAGCAAAATAAATTGTCCACTTATAAATGGATTTACCAAGAAATGGCATATTAAATCTAGTCAAATACGTTTGTAAAATCAAAGGAGCAATCTACTACTAAATAAATAGGAATTGAAAGTAGTTATGACTTCTCTCAGCACCTGATATATATATTGTATAGGTATAATTTGTAAAATGTGATATTTTAGCAGCCTTTTATTGAAGAACTTAAAATAATGTAAAGTAATAAACTCATTTGAATTAAAGCTATCATAAATCGTGTGCTAATATTTATCTGAACAAGTAAGCATGCTTTTGGACATTAATTATATGCAGCTGTTAAAATCTCCTCAGGAGGGCATCAATTACAATATACGAATGCTACTAGGAAACAAACCAACATATATTATCTGACTTTAGAGAAAAGAACACCATTATTTACCTTGTGATGTTGACTCAATTTGAACTTGCAGCAAAACTGCAAGCTATTGGGAAGTGTTAAGAAAATATAATGAAAATACTTAGAAACAATAGCTGACTATAGTCAATGTAATGAATCAGAATGCATGATTTACACAAAAAGCAGAGTCAGTTTATGGAGAATTTGTAAGCAATTAACAAGTTCATCACTTGTTAAAGTTGATAGCACAAACAGTGTTAAATAAGAAATATCCTTTTGTGCAAGCTGAACAGCATGTAACTTTATAATTGAGTAAGTATTCCGAGTCTTTTTTTCGATTGCAAAATATTTAAATAATTGAGATTACATCAGGGTTAACATTTATAAATTGTGAAGTTATTAGCAATATAAACACGAACAATATCATTGCAAGAAGAAGTGTGCGTATAAATTTAAAGTAGAACAATCGTACGTTTAGCTGGGTAATAAATATTTCAAGAATTAATAAGTATCTGTATGATAATCATTTTGAAAAGAAAATTAGACATGAAGAGGTGAATTGTTTAAATAAATTTGCAGCAAAAATGTAATATCTAATCAAAAGTTGATAAATTTTTAAAATGACTATTTTTCATGTTCACAATCAGATACTGCACAGCATAGCAACTTAATTGAATTAACAAAACTGCAAAAAGTCAACTCTTTAGTAGCAGAAATTTGCTGATGATGTTGGAGATACCAATCACTTAGCTATATTTTTAACTCGAATTGGGGGCAGCACATTCATTTATGGCTTTGTGCATTTTAATACTGAATGTATGATAGCCTGTACTATATAAGTAACATAAACTGATATGTGCTATGATCGTTACCGAAAACTTGATGCAAGATGTACAAAGTAAAAATATATCGACATTATATGCATTAATATATAAAGCAGCTTTGTTAAAACATGTGAATCAATTTTTTAGATCACAATACTCAATTTCAATCGATGAGCAATTTGCATCAGAGTACTCAGAAGTAGCTTTTCTACTTTATGAAAGAAGAATTTTAAATTCTTAAGTTGGCAGAAGGGAGGTAGAAGAAATAGCTCCTTTAGACATAATTTGAAATGCATCTGTTTGTAGACATATATGACTTGTACTACCTAGCTATTCATGGACCATTAAATTAATTTTGAATTGTATCTACTAGAGGGTAATTAGTAAAGATGAGACGTAATATTGGGGATGAAAAATAATATTCAGTAGTAAACTATTAAAATTATAAATTTGATGGGACAAAATAGTTGCAAAAGTAGTATTAAAGCATCAACACAGCTTGCTGCCATATATTAACAATCAGTGTAAAAGGAATAATTGAAGAAATTTGGAAGGGCAAGGAGTTGAATCAGACATTCAAAAATTGCTTAAAAATATGAAGGTCCAAAATTTCTTAAACATCTGACTTGATAACATTAAAACTGTTTAAGAGAAAATAATACATTTATGTAATATCAATAAATTTAGTAAATTCTAAAATTTATTGTCTTTGGGTTAAACTCAAAGTTATATAGAAGATTAATTTTGTTATTTTTTTTAAATTATCCATTATGTTATGAAATCCAATTTTGGGTAATTCTGTAACTTCATAAACAATAATAAAATTGAACCATTAATTAATTTGTAAAAAATTAGCTTTAGGTAAAATTACATAGTTCTTATGTTAATGATTAATAACTGTTCCTTATATGCAAAATTATTATTGAAAGTAGCTACTTTGGATGTAATTCATATAGAGCTTATTTAAGATTATTGTTAGGGATGGATATAATTAAGATCTCTAGGGTTTGGAATATTTATTGATGATTAATATATCTTTTCAGTCCTTTATTCTCTCTAATACTTTTAATATCAATTCAAATTAATAATTAACAGGTTACGAAAATATTACCAAGATTAGAGTAGAGTAATTTTAAAATCATTCAATGTTTAAACTTTGTTATCATTTAAGATCATTTCTAAGATTAAGGTTATTTTTTAATTTTTGAAATGTATCTTTCTTCTTATCTTTGTTACTAATTGTATCATTATCTTTATTATAAAACTGAAGATCTAAATTATACTAAACTATTAGTAATCATTATTAGGACTAAACCTGTTTACTCTGTTTATATTATAAATTTAATAGTGTATTGTAAGTCTATAAATATTAATTTATAACCGTTGTTTCTAACATCTCAATATTATCCAAATATTTAAATAGAAATAAAAAAAACATATTATGCAAAAAGTTATAAGAAAATGATTAAAATTATAATTGTAATGTTTTTAATGAATATCAAATTAACTTTTGCTTTTGTTTTAAGTCTTCTAAAATGCAACTTCCTTTGGATTTAAACAATGGTTTTAAATCTATCCCTTAAT